AACCATGGCATACACTGTGCTTGTGCTTGTCAGAGCACAGCCTTTAAGAGGTTTCAGAGAAACAGTTTCTCCCAAAGAACTCCTCGCAAAACTACTCCAGCTTAAGATTTTGTATTGGGGGTATTTGCTGCGATCCTGCAAAAGCTAGTCTGAAGTGGGGAGGGGTTAGAGTTTTCAGTGGGTTGTTAAGGGATAATTTAGGTGAAAACATATTTTATAATATTTGTGATTTTAGTGTGTGGCTGTGAAAAGACAGCTGGTAACATTGCCTATACAACTTTGTTAAAATACTTGAATATTTCAGGCTGACTCTTGCTTGCGGTGGAGTACCTCTGAATTCTTTAGATGACCTGAATCCTGACTGTTTGGGACATGCCGGACTTGTGTACGAGTATACATTGGTAAGTGTGTTTTTTTTTATTGAAGGTGGTAGTACTTTTTAAAAATTGATTGATTGATTGATGAGTTCTTTTGTAGAAAAATGTATTGAAGGAGCTAGCGTTGTTGCATAGCCGGCAGAGTCGGCATGGGTGCCAGTGTGAGTCCCTGCTCCTCCACCTCTGATCCATCATCCCTGCTAATAACCTGGAAAAGGCAAGAAGAAGGTGGCCCGAATCTATAGGGTCCCTGCCACCCATGTGGGAGTTAGTTCCTGGAAAAGAAGTTCCTGGCTTGGACGTGGCCCAGCCCTGGCCATTGTGACCAGTAAATGGAAGAGGTTCTTTCAGATAAATCTTAGAACAATTTTTCCAGAATTAGAATCCATTTGTTTATGTAGATTTTGGTGATTTGTTTAAATGATACATTTCTTACTGTTTTAAGTGTTTTAATATGTTTGATGTACCTGACAGTATTTTTCCAGGAAATGTATTGTTTTTACTTTAATCAGCATTACAGAGAGATTTATCTCCATGCGTGATCTTCCATCCTCTGGTTCACTCTCCAGTGGTCACAGTGGTCACAGATGGCTGATCGGAGATGGAGAGCCGGGAGCTTCCTTCAGGTTTCCCACATGGCTGCAGGGCCTGGGGATTCCAGCCAACCTCTGCTGCTTTCCCAGGCCATCAGCAAGGAGCTGCAGAGGAACTGGAAGAGCCAGGACTTGAACTGCCATCTGCTATGCCACCATGCTTGTCCCCTGATGACCAATATATTACGTCTTGATTTAAGATTTATTTATTTCTAATAATTACAAAAAAGGGAGAACTAACACAAATCTTCATCCATTACTGATTCACTCTCCAAATGGCTGCAGTGGCCAAAGCTAAACCTATCTGGAGCCAGGAACTTCTGGATTTCCACATGGGAAGCAGGGACCCACCAGCTTGGACCATCTTCCCAGGCACATTAGTAGGGACGATGAATCAGAGGTAGAGTAGCTGGGATTCAAGCCAGCCCACATATGCTGGTTTAGTATATGTGTGTGTGTATAATTTTATTCTTTTACACACAGGGAGAAGAGAAGTTCACCTTTATTGAGAAATGTAACAATCCCCGATCTGTCACATTACTGATCAAAGGACCGAACAAGCACACACTCACTCAGATCAAAGATGCAGTAAGAGATGGCTTAAGGGCTGTCAAAAATGCTATTGATGATGGTAAGAGCTTTGCTGTATTTCAGTTCTTTTTGTACCTTTGAAAGGCATGGCTGAATACTGTGTTCCTTCATCAGTAGTTTACACAGCCAGACACCATGCAAAAGTAAAGTCTTCCTTTGGAAATTATTTTGATATGCCGAGTCTTTCCTTGGCATATCGTTATCAAAAGTGAATACACGTGAACTAATGCAAGGTGACTCGGGTGCTCGGTGACGTTTGATATGTTAATCGTTTGCACTGTAGCTTTCAAATGCAGTGCTGCGTTTAAATTATCCTGGTGGATTACTTTTAGTGTCTTGTACATGTGAGTTGTAATTTACATTTTGTAATCTTACGGTGTGTTTTTCCTCCCAACAGGCTGTGTGGTTCCTGGTGGTGGTGCAGTGGAAGTGGCAATGGCAGAAGCACTGATAAAATATAAGTCTAGCGTAAAGGGCAGGGCCCAACTTGGAGTTCAGGCATTTGCTGACGCCTTGCTCATTATTCCCAAGGTATGATCACTTTGTCTATGAGAGTTTAAACTTTATTTTTACTTGCAAAGCAGATTTACAGAGGAGAGACAGGTTTTCCTTCATTGGTTTACTACAAAATGGCTGCAACAGGCGGAGCTGAGCCGATCTCAAGCCAGGAGCCGGGAGCTTCTTCTCAGTCTCTGTGAGCAGGGAGTTAGATGGGAAATGGAACAGCTGGGACTAGAACTGTTGCCCATATGGAATGTCGACACTGTAAGATGGAAGAATAGCCTGAGGTTGTGAAATCATCTTCCTGGGAGTTTTGGATGAGTAAATTTGATCTGTTGACTATAGTGTAGCAATCCCATACTTAAATATATTTAGTTCCTCTGAGAGACCTGGAAGATCCAGGTGGCAGGTGTGAACTGCTTTCTAAGATTAGGGGTTATGCTTGAATATGTCTTGTTTTGCTGTGAACTGGTGAATATCATTTTCTATTGCTTGTTCATCGAGGAGCATGGTTTTTGTCTCGTGCATTGTCAGATGTTGGGTGGGTTAGAGTTGATTAGTAACTTGTGTGGTTACTGTTTGAAGGGAGCATGTATTTCAGTGTTAAGTGATGTTTTTAATCAGAAGTTTGGTTTATTGTAAACTTCATCAATTCTTGGTTCTATCTTCTGAAGAAGTGAATTTGTTTACTTTAGGTTCTTGCTCAGAATTCTGGCTTTGACCTTCAGGAAACGCTAGTTAAAGTTCGAGCAGAACATTCAGAATCAGGCCAACTTGTGGGTGTGGACTTGAACACAGGTAAAGCGGGGAAAGCCAAGCACTGCGGTGAGGTGGGGCTGAGAGCGATGGAAAATCCTGAGGGCCCTCGCACTTAGACGCCACTGCTGCCGGGGAGCTAAGTTGGAATAAAATAGGAATGACCGGCGAGGTGAAATAAAGCAGATAATGCCAGAAGAGGGGACTACATCTGAAGAAATGATATATCCCAGGTCTTCCTCCAACACACACAGCAGTAGAGACGGAGGCACATGCGCCTTATGTGTATAACCTATCGGCACCACTGTCCATTTCATAGGAAAGCTTCTGGAATGAGGAGAGGGAAGTGCACATTTTACCCAGACTAATTCAAGTGCTGTTATGCAAAATGGATACAAGAATGTGTCTCTAAGAGCAGAGAGATGTTCAGACACTTGCTAACCACAGGGCAGGTCATCCAAGATGGTGGGGACAGGAGTCACTTGAGTGATTAGTTGTAAGTGAAATGTTGTGGGTTTTGTAAAAAGTATATCTTATAAAGCTCTCAGCTTTGTTTTAGATTCTGGAATTAGGCAACACTGCTCATGAAATAGCTTGTTCCTGTTTTAGACATTAATACTTGATTTTGAGAAAAGTTGGTTCCGTTGCAGGTGAGCCCATGATAGCAGCGGAAGTGGGCGTATGGGATAACTACTGTGTAAAGAAACAGCTTCTTCACTCTTGGTAAGCTGGGGACAAACAGAACTAAAACAACCTTTGGGCGGTTGTTTTACTCTGTTCACTTAGAATGATGTGGGCGGTTTTTTGTGTGTGCTTTTCTGCTATAATTTGAGAAATTGAGGGCATGGAAGGTAAACCAGCCTGTGTAGAAATAAGGGTAAGAGAAACTGGCTGTGATACGCACTTCCTTGGAGACCGCAGGCTGACTGACGGTGTCGGAGCCCTCTGATTTTCTGTTTCTGTTCCCTCTCCCAGCACTGTGATCGCCACCAACATTCTCTTGGTTGACGAGATCATGCGAGCTGGGATGTCTTCTCTGAAAGGTTGAATTGACACTTCTGAATCTTGAAGACTCTAGAATGATCCTGAAAACCAAGCTTCAAATGATTTTCAAAAGAATTTCCCTTTTCCCATCTGAAATGAGAGCGCGCTGACACCTGTTCCAGTTACGATGTTGTGCAGTTATAATTACAGTATTTGAAAAGCTGCACTGAGCGTGTGCACTATGAAGCGGATCCTCTTTACCCAATGAGCAGGATATTTTGCTTGAGCTGTAGTGACAAAATGACATGTTAGACAAGTGTGTTACCTACTTATTAAATACCCCTTTGGAAAAAAAAAATTAGTGGTTGAACAGTTTCTTACGTATTTAAAATTATCCAGCAGTTTCCTGTTGCTACACGTTTAAGTTAAATGTTTATGCTATTGCAGCTCGTAATTTAAGATTTTGAAAGCGTCCATTTCTTTGAATTTTTATGGGTAGAACTGCTGGATTAGTTGGATTTTCACACTAGAACAGATGGCCCAGAATGCTCTCCGTAAAAATGCTTAGTGTTGAGGTTTAGTACAAAGTGACAGAGGCAGGTGAACGTGAAGGGAGCACGGAGGGAGGGCGTGGTGAGCACGAGGCGTGGGTGTCAGAGCCGTGCTGACGGCAGGTGTGATCCGCTCCAAGCCATCTTCTCCCTCACTCAAATTGTGCCCTGCTATGCTTCCATGGAATTGCTGTAGTCCTTGAAAATGAAGTGTGAGTGTGCAATAAAGGTTAAATGGAAAGCCCTTGGCGATTTTAAGACTGGTGTGCCCCAAGAAGCGGTGCGGGTTTCTGAGCCTGTGCGGCCAGCGGTGATTGCCCACCTGATCCACAGTGCTGCATGGGTGGGGTGGGCTGCGCATGCGCACGGACGGCCGCGCCCCCCCCTTCTCCTTGCGGCAGGCGCATGCGCACTCGTGCCGCCCTGCGTCCAGGCTCCCGGCGCCGGCATGGGTGTGTGGCGGCTCTTCGTCCTGTTGCTCCTGTCCAGCCCGGGGCTCAGGCTAGGTCAGTGCGCTGGGCGCGGCTCGGCCCGGGGCGTCTGGGAAGGCAGCACCCTGCTCTCCTGGGTGTGTGCGGGAAGCCGCCAAGTGGGTGCAGGGGCCCACGAGGGCCATTAGCAGGGTAGGACATGGAGCCAGTGTCCCCATGGGATTCTGGCGTCCTGGGTGGCAGCTATATCCGCTGTAGCCCGTGTTCTTTTTAAATTCCCTTTTGCAATCGAGGTGTCAGAGGTCGTCGAGTACATCAGGGGACTGGGAGTACTCGTCCAGCCTTGTGTGGGGACGCTGTGATGTGATGAATGCAGCCCGAGGTGTGGCCTTTATGAGACAGGGGAGCTGCATGTCAGCCTGTCTCCTGCTAACCAGCCTTTGAAGTTGGCTCTTTGGGGATTGCATTCAAACAGGCATACACTGGTGAAATTGATGTCATTCTTCCATGTTCTGGAACACTTGGCATAACGGTAAGCGGAGCAGGTGTCATGGTCCAACAGGTGAAGTTGCTGTTTGGGGTGTGGGCATCCCATATCGGTGCTTGGCATCGGGTTCTGCCTCGCTTTCCAGTCCAGCCTGCTGCTGTTGCGTGTCCTGGCAGGCGGCAGACGATGACTCTGGAGCTTGGGTCCTTGGTACCCACACGGAAGACTCAGAGGGAGTTGGGGGCATTTGAGGAGTGAATCAGCAGATGGAGATTGCTCACATGCTCTCTCACTCTTTTTTTTAAAGCAAAATCGACTTTTAAAAAAGAAGGTTGTTTGTTTGAAGAGCAGAGTTACAAAGAGAGACCGAGAGAGATTGTCCATCTGCTGGTTCACTCCCCAAATCTGGGCTGATCCGAAAGCAAGGGTCAGGAGCTTCTCCTGGGCCTCCCGCATGGATGCAGGGTCCCAAGGCCGTGGGCACATGGTCAGGGAATGGGATCAGAAGTAGAGCAGCTGGGACTCAAACCTTGTGGGGTGCTGGAAGCTACTTGCTATGACACCACCAGCCTTAAATACTTTTATTTAAAAACAGTTGCAGAAATGAGAAGCTGCCTTTAAAATATATATATATTTTTACTTGAAAGTAGTTACAGAGAGAGGGCAAGACAAAAAGAGAATTTCATCTGTTGGTTCAGTCCCCAGAGGGCCGAAATGACCAGAGCTCAGCTGGTCCACAGCTGGGAGCCAGGAGCTTCTTGCTGTAGGGACGCGAGGACTTGGGCCAGTCTCTGCTGCCTTTCCAGGCCATAAGCATGGAGCTTGCTTGGAAGTGGAGTAGCCAGGACTCAAAAAAAAAAAACCCTAGGGGATGGTGGTGCTGGTGCTACAGGCTGAGGAATAACTAGCCATGCCACCGTGCCTGCCCCCCAAGCTACTAAACAAAAAATGGTAAATATTTCAAGAAATGGACAGGAGAGGTAAAGAAGCAGCGTAAGCATAATTATTAGATATATTTCAGGATATAGTTCCTGGATTTACCTACTTTGGAAAAAGGTACGTGAAAATCTGTTCAGTGTTGTTCAGCACATTATTTTAATTCATGCAATATCACCGTAACATAGGTGTTACCCCCATTTGGTGGATGCACAGATCTCAGATTAACTAATTTGCCTAAAAGCAAATTCAATTAGTAGAACAAGAATTTTCTTTAGAGACTATTTTTTTTTTAAGTTGGAAAGGCAGATATACAAAGAGGAGGAGAGACAGAGAGGAAGATCTTCCGTTCAATGATTCACTCCCCAAGTGAGCACAACGGCTGGAGCTGAGCTGATCTGAAGCCAGGAGCCAGGAGCCTCTTGCAGGTTTCCCACATGGGTGCAGGGTCCCAAGGTTTTGGGCCATCCTCAACTGCTTTCCCAGGCCACAGGCAGGGAGCTGGCTGAGAAGTGGGGCCGCCAGGATTAGAACTAACGCCTGTATATGGGATCCCTGCGCGTTCAAGGCGAGGTCTTTAGCCACTATGCTATTGCGCCGGGTCCGCAGAACAAGAATTTAAAGCCAAATTTTTTAGCCTACTGTGTTTTATTTCTTTGTACTGGTATGAGTATTGCATATGAGTGGACCGTTACCACTTATTTTCTCTATGAGCATGTATTGTTGATCACTGTCCTTTCAGGGAATGGTCAGCCTGCTGGCGTGGTTCAACTTCGAGGTGGGAGATTCCGGATGGGAACAAACACTCGAGGTCACAAAGCTGGTGAAGCTCCTGTCCAGGAAGTGTCCGTGAGCCCTTTTGCCATCGACATAGTTCCTGTCACTAACAAAGATTTCAGGTAAAAAAAAATCAGGTAGTCAGAAGTTTCCCCAGGAGGAGTAAAAGCTCTTTCTTTTTTATGTATTTATTTATTGGAAAGTCAGATATACAGAGAGGAGGAGAGACAGAGAGGAAGATCTTCCGTCCCATAATTCACTCCCCAAGTGAGCGCAACGGCCGATGCTATGCCGATCCAAAGCCAGGATCCAGGAACTTCTTTCCGAGTCTCCTGCACGGGTGCAGGGTCCCAAGGCTTTGGGCCGTCCTGGACTGCTTTCCCAGGCCACAAGCAGGGAGCTGGATGGGAAGTGGAACTGCCAGGATTAGAACTGACGCCCATATGGGATCCTGGCACGTTCAAGGTGAGGACCTTAGCTGCTAGGCCACGCTGCGGGGCCCAAGTAAAAGCTGTTTGAAAGACTTCTTCCTACTATGTGCAAGGAACCCAGCTTGCTCAGCATCAGATGCCCTCTTTGCACTGTTACCTGTGTCTTTCTGATGAAGAATCTGAAATTCAAAGAACTCTGTCTGAGGCTCTCAGTGTCAGAACTGGACTTGAATTCAGAGGTGCCTACTGTGGAGCCAGTGCTTTTTTCCCCTGTCCCTTGACAAAGCAAAGACAAACAGGAGCAAGAGGGAAACATTCAGTTGCTTCACAAGATTTATTTATTTCTTTCTTTTATTGGAAAGGCAGATTTACAGAGATAAGGAAAGACAGACAGAAAGATCTTCCATCCACAAGTTCACTCCCCAGGTGGCCGCAACAGTCAGAGTTGAGCCAATCCGGAGCCAGGAGCCAGGAGCCAGGAGCTGCTATCTGGTCTCCCACACGGGTACAGAGTTGCAAGGCTTTGGGCTTTCCCAGGCCACAAGGCAGGGACCTGGATGGGAAGTAGAGCAGCACATGTTAACACATGTTGCATGTTAGCACATGCAAGGCGAGGATTTAGTCACTAGGCTATCAAGCCGGGCCCAAGAGGGAAGCATTCATAAGAAGTGCTATAGTGTGAGTGGGATGTGGCATAGTGGATTAAGCTGCTGCGCGAGATAGCGGCATTCCATGTCCGAGTGCTGTTTCAAGTTCCAGCGACTCTGTTCCTGATCTGACTTCCTGCTGTTGTGTCGTAGGAGGTACGATGTTCAAGTGCTTGAGTACGTACAGCCCACATGGGAGACCCCAGCGGGGTTCCTGACTCCTGCGTTAGTCTAATCTAACCCTAGCTATCGTGGCTGTCTGTGGAGTGAACCAATGGATGAAAGAGCTCTCTGTTATTCTGCTTTACAAAGCTTTAAAAAAAAATAATTGGAAAGAAAGAAAGAGAAAAGAAAGAGAAAAGAAAAAAGAGAAAGAAAGGCAGGCCGGTGTGGTGGCTCAACAGGCCAATCCTCTGCCTAGGTGCACAACTATGTGGCTGCTCCACTTGCCGTCCAACTCCCTGCTTATGGACTGGGACAACAGCAGAGGCTGGCCCAAGTTCTTTGGCCCACAAGTCCTTGTGGGAGACCTGGGAGAAGCTTCTGGCTTCCAGCTGCCGACCAGCTCAGTTCTAGCCATACCAGCCATTCGGGGAGTGAACCCACAGAGAGATGAAGAGCTTCCTGCTCTCTCTCCTTTCTCTGCAAAAATCTGCCTTTCCAATAAAAACAAATACATCTCCTTGAAAAAAAAAAAATGAAATGAAAGAGGAAGAGAGGAAAGAAGGAAGGAAGGATGGACCCACCCACTCCAGGGTTCCTAGTCACTGAGAATGCCTTAAATTTCATTCCTGTTTGTTGAGGGAAACAGCGCTGCGATGTTTAGGAGTCATATCTTGTGATGCGCTCTCAGGTCTGAGAAAGCGTGGTGAGCTGCTTTAATCCTCAGCTGCCTAAGGTCAGGTGTTGGGAAGGCTACAGTAAAACTTGCCAGAGGAAACCTAGAACGCACCTTCCAGTGATGCAGGGTTGGAGTTGAAAATGTGTGTCCGTAGATACGTAAGGGTACTTTAAAAAGTTCATGAAAATGGAATTTTTATTATTTATTGATTTGAAAGGCAGAGATTCAGTAAGAAGAGGAGACAGAATTTCCATCTGTTAGTTCACTCCCCAGTTGGCCACCATGGCCATGGTTGGACCAGACCAAAGCCAGGAGCCAGGATCTTCAGGGTCTCCCATTGGATGCAGAGGCCAGTGTACCTGGGCCATCCTGCACTGATTTCCCAGGCCGTTACCAGAGAGCTGGATCTGAAGTGGAACAGCCAAGATTTGAACTGACATCCATAAGGGATGCCAGTATTGCAGGCGGACTCTTAACTCTCTGTACCACCATGCCAGCCCTCACATCATCGAGTAACTTTTAAAATTTTTTAAATTTTCTTTTTAATGTTGTTGACATAACTGAGAGAAATGCAAGCCCGTGTGGGCCTCTAGTTAGGGTGGGATGGGTCAAGTATGGAGGAAGGTGGGTAGGACAATTGTTCAAATTTTTCGTTTCTCCTGTGTCTGCAGGGGAGCAGTGAGAGGGGTTACTCCTTGTTCTCAGACTACATCAGCACCTCAGGATGGTGAGGGGTGGAAATCCTTTGATGACACCTTAGAGATCCTCATGTGGGGAAGAGTGTTATGAGGCTTTATTGCACATCATGGTTGAGAAAATATTTCCAAGGTCTCTAGGTTGACCAAGTTCACTTTAGTGTATCCACAGACCCAGAAACAGGCTACAAAGCTTGGCCAGGACAATTGTCCAACCTGTTCTGCTTTCCAGCCTCTGATGGGGCAACTGATGTCCCCTGCTGGCCAAGATGAGCTAGCCGTCATGACTCTCACCCTGTCTTGGCATTTGCCTGCTAGTGCTGCAGCCTAAGCCAGCTCCACAACCACCAGTGGAAGCAGTGACCCAGCTTGGGAGGCCCTGAAGTTCTGGCCTACTCTCAGCCCTGCATCTTGTGCTGTGACCCAGCCTGCGATGGCCTACACTGGTCTTGGCATTTGCCAGCAGGTGCTACAGCCTGACTTGGTCTGTGTCACCACCAGTTTCAGCCTGGCCCAGCCCCAGTCCTCACATGAATTGGTGGGTGTTGCCATCCATTGTGGTGTTCACCATCACCAGCAGGTGCTGGAGCCCAGCCCCGTCTGGCCTCCCCTCAGGTCAGCCCACATACATGTTGATAGGTGTCACAGCCTTGCCCTACCTGGTCTTCCCATAGCCCCAGTTCTTTGCACCAGGCTAGCTGGACAGTCCCCAGAGTTTTCGTAAGAAGTCCGTTCCCAGCATCGGGTCTTGCACGTGCTGTCAAGTGATTAGACCCAGCCTGGTGTGACCTAACCACAGTCTCAGCTCTCCTGGTGGGTATTACAGCTTAGTCTAGCTGGGAGTAGCCCACATCTTGTCCTTATCATGCATCCCAGTGAGTGCTGAGGCTTGGTCCAGCCTGGCCCGTTCCTAGACCCTACCCATACAGATGCTGAAGGGATGCTTCTGTCTTGCCTTGCCTGGTCTGGCCCTCCCCCAGCTCTGACTCCTGCTCCCCAGTAGGAGCTGGGGTCTAGAAAGGGGGTTCCCCAAGTTGCCCTACCAGGCCTGTTCCCACCCCTGGATCTCGTGCATGTTGGTGGGTACAGTGGCCCTGCTTGGCATGGTTTGCCCTCAGTCCTGGCCTTTGCATGTGCCAGTGGGTGCTACAGCCTGGCCCTGCCCAGCCCCCTTCCAGCCCCAGCTACCATGCATGTTAAGTTGGTTTCTGTCAGGTAAGTTCTTTGGACCAACCTGTCTTGGCCCATCACTGCCCCCAGCTCTCTGCATAAACCAGCAGTCCTACAGAGGCAAGCCCATCATTCCCTTAGAAACTCTGCCCGCAGATCCGGTTCTATTAGAGTTTGATTCATGCTGCAGCCCAGCCTGATGTGCCTGCTGCCTGCTCCAACACTCAAGTGTCCGGCCAGGCATGCTCCCCAGCTCAATGATTTTGGTTTTGTTTTTTTCTTTTTAAGATTTATTTACTTTTATTGGAAAAGCACATTTTACAGAGAGAAGGAGAGACAGAGAGAAAGATCTTCCGTCTACTGGTTCACTCCCCCAAGTGGCCACAACGGCCGGAGCTGAGCCAGTCTGAAGCCAGGAGCCAGGAGCCAGGAACCAGGAGCCTCTTCCAGGTATACTGCGCAGGTACAGGATTCCAAGGTGGGAGGGCATCCTCTACTGTTTTCCCAGGCCACGGGCAGGGAGCTGGATGAAAGTGGAGCAGCTGGGACATGAACTGTTGCCAAGCCCTGCCCAACAGGACAGGTGATGCTGTTTAGCCCAGCCTAGGTCTCCCACACAGACATGCTCTCCAGTCCCTTCCCCAAACCACTCTGTCTTTGCTCCCTTGCCTACCTGTGAGTGCAGTGGGTCAGTCCATGGAAGACCCCAGCAGCCTTCCTTCGCTATCAAACATGCCTTCAGTCACTCCCACTCCGATAGTGCTTTCCCGGGTGTATTAAAAGAGAGTTGCCTCAAAACATGGGACTCAAACGGGCACTTTTACACGATACCTGGGTCCTAGGTGGCAGCTTAATCCACTGCAGCACATGTTGGTCCCTGAAGAGTCATCTTTTTCTTTTAAAGATTTACCCATTTGAACGTTAGAGTGATAGAGCAAGGAGAGAGAGAAATCTATCCGCTGATTCATTCCCCAGATGGCTTCCGTGGCCAGAGCTGGGCGAAACCAAGGAACAAGAGACAGGAGCTTCATGCAGAATTCCCACATGCTGGCAGGGTTGCAGGGATTGGGCCGTCCTCTGCAGCTTTTCCAGGCGTATCAGCAGGGAGCTGGCTTGGAAATGGAACGGCTGGGATTTAAATTATCACCTAGATAGAATGCTGGCACTGCAGATCAGCTTTACTCACTATATCATAACGCCCACCCCCATTTTAATTTTTTAGCCTACTTGTGTTTATTCATTTTCTTTAATGCAGTGTGCATTTTTATATGCACGTACTTTTAAAAGTAATCGAATCACTTCAAAAAGAAATTTATTAAAATTAGGGGAGAAATCACTCCTGACCAAGCTTTACCACATCATGCCGACCAACAGCGAGGTGGTTGCACAGTATGCCCTCTACCCTGAATTTTGCTCAGAACCCCACGATTTGACTCTGGTTCTTTGGTTAAAGTTTCAAACAGCTCAGATAATGCTCGAATCTCCCAGTGCCTCGATCACTCTCAGAGTCCCTTTGATCAGCACACAGTGTCTCCTCATGTCAGGGACAGACATGGGGAGAGCTGGCCCGGTAGGACAGTCATCTTCCCCCAGCAACTGGCCATTCCAGAGCCAGCTGTGTGGAAATCCATCCCAGCGCCCCAGTATGTCATTCATTTGCCTGTCTTCCATCTGTTAGATGCAGATTAATAACAATACCTGTGCTGCCAGCTTCCCGTGCTCGTAGCGAGACTGGGATGAAGACCTTTCAGAAGAGTCTCACTCCCTGCCCTCATACTTGCTCAGCTGTTTTGTTTTTTTGTAATCTCCAAAATCTGGATTGAACTCCCCTGATAACTCAGCTGTTGAACACATATGCTTTATCCATAAGCGTAAGCTTTGTGCAAAAGTGTAACCATACGATGACATACTCATCGAAGAGAAGGCAGAGACCACTGAGAGCGACGCCACAAATAAATCCAAAGCATTTTACTAGGTGAGAGAAGCCTGGCCTAAAAAACTGCGTGCTCTGATTCCTGATATGTGACTTTCTGAGGGAGGAGCAAAGCTACGAAGACAAAAAAGCAAATCCATGGTTGCAAGGGGGCGCAGGGAAAGCTGCTTAGAGTGATAGATGGAACCAACTTGTATTTTGGCTGTTCATTACGATTCACATAGTGATTATTCACGTAGTAATTATGCTTGCCCTTTGCCAAAAACTCCCAGAATTCTGCATACATCAGAAAAGCATGGCTTTCCCGAGAGGTGAATTCTGTGCTAACTGGAAAGAAAGCTCCCTCCTGCCCAGGGTTGCCAGAGGATTCCTGGGAGCATAGTGTCTCTGTGGTGTGTGACTTAGGGAACAGGGTATGGGAGGTTTCTGGAGCGGGGTGGGGAGAGGGGACAGAGAGGAGGCATGGGATGCTGGCCGCTGAAGTAGGTGAACTGTCTCACTGCAGGGAGTTTGTAAGGAGCACGAAGTTCCGGACAGAAGCGGAGAGTTTTGGGTGGAGCTTTGTCTTTGAGGACTTGGTCTCCCAGGAGCTCAAAAAAAAGACCACCAGGCGGGTGAAGGTGAGAGAGCCTAGTGGTCCAGCTGAGGGAGCTGGGGGGATGTGGGCCCTGGGAGGAGAATCGAGAATCCTAAAGTGGGGGGAGAGGGGGGCAGGGCAGGATCTCGTGGGCCACAATGCAGAGTCAGGCCTGAGAGCTGGGTCAGGGAGGCAGCCAGAGAAACCCAACCCTGGCAGAGACAGACACATGTCGCAGGAGGTGGGCTCTGAGCTGATTCTTGCCCGAGAGAGACATGGACCAAGAACAGGATACTTCGGAAGCGGCTAGCAAGCTGCAGAAGGGGGAGGCCCCCCCCACCCCCAGCACCCAAGGCCTGCCTGCATCCCTGTCCTGCCTTTGGGTCACTTGCTCCTTCTTTCTTGCAGAATCTTCTCTGGTGGCTTCCTGTGGAGGGGGCATTTTGGAGGCAGGTAAGAGCTGACTCCTTCCCTCATCTTCCTGGTACCCACCAGGAATACGGTCTTTAATAACCAGATAACAAGTACTTCTGGGAAGCTAAGCAATCTTTTGTCCTTCTCTCTGATCTCCCTTTAGTCTGACGTGTAGTTTCCACCCCCGCCAAGATTTCTTTTCTCATTTGAAAGTCAGATTTTTGCAGAGAATGAAGAGACAGAGCCAGAAGTCCTCCATCTGTTGGTTCACTCCCCGAATGGCTGATATGGCCAGAACTGAGCTGGTTGGCAACTGGAAGCCAGAAACTTCTCCCAGGTCTCCCACAAGGACTTATGGGCCAAAGAACTTGGGCCAGCCTCTGCTGTTGTCCCAGACCATAAGCAGGGAGTTGGATGGCAAGTGGAGCAGCCACAACAGAACCAGTTGGTGCTACAGGCAGAGAATTAGCCAGTTGAGTAATCACTTAGCCACACAGTCTTTTTTTTTTTTTTTTAAGATTGACTTTATTTTCTATTGGAAAGGCAGGCTTACAGAAAGAGAGACAGAAAGATCTTCCGTCTGCTGGTTTATTCCCCAAAATGCCACAAGGGCCAGTGCTGACCTGATTCCAAAGCCAGAAGCTTCTTCCAGGTCTCCCACATGGGTGCAGGGTTCCGAGGCTTTGGGCCGTCCTCCACTACCTTCCCAGGTCACAAGTAAGGTGCTGGATAGGAAGTGGGGCAGCCAGGATATGAACCGGCACCTGTATGGCATCCCTGTGGTTGCAAGTCTAGGATTTGAGTCTGACCCTGGAAAACCCACCCTGCCCCCTCCCCCTCGCTAGGCCATCTCACATCTGCCAATGTCCTTGCTCCGTCTAGTGGTCGAAGCTGAGCACTGGCAGCAGAAGCGTGTCTCCCTTCATCCTGTCAGCCTGCAGGTCCCGGCTCTGGCATCAAAGAGAAATTGGAGTTCCCTGTGCTTCACGTGAGCTGGAACGACGCTCGTGCCTACTGCGCTTGGCGAGGGAAACGGCTGCCGACGGAGGAAGAGTGGGAGTTTGCTGCTCGAGGGGGTCTGAAGGGTATACAGCCGTTGCCAAGGCTTATCGCTCGCCATCCTGCCCTGGTCCGGGACTTGAATGCAGGGTGCTGGGGTGTGCCTTCTCCCTAGAGCAGTGCTGCTTAAGTCTACTGTGCTGAAAGACCAGTTCTTTTTTTTATTATTATTATTTCTTATCCATCTCAGAAGAGTACATTTGTAAAATAGAGTAGCCATTAATAACTGGGAAACCGAAATGGAAAGCAGACATAAGTTTCCTATTTTTGGTGATTCCACAAGTAGTATTTACAATTTTACAAGATTTCTTTATTTGAAAGGTAGAGTTACAGAGAGAAGAATCTTCTGTCTGCTGATTCACTTTCCAAATGGCCACAGCAACTGGGACTGGGCCACGCTAGCACCAGGAGCCCAGAACTCCAGATGGGCTCCGCACAGAGGAGGCAGGGACCCCAGTTCTTAAGTCATCCCTCGCTGCTCTCCTACGTGTATTAGCAGGGAGCTGCCTTGGAGGTGGAGCAGCTGCGACTCAACAGGAGTTCATACATGCTACCAGTGTCACAGACAACGCTTTAACCAGTGGCACCACAATGTCAGCCCCTCCAAGTTATATTTCAATAAAAATAACTAGACCAACATAGGAAGGGAGAATTGCCAGAACTGTATATCTTTTCCATAGGTGCACCGTGATGGATACAATGAATAACTGTTTACTCAAAGTTTGTCACTTTGTAACCTTTTAAAAGTATTTCATCATTTATTTATTTATTTATTTGAAAAGGAGAGTTGCAGAGAGAGGAAAAGAGATGGAGATCTTCCATCCAGGGGTTCACTCCCCAAATGGCTGCAGCAGTCGGAGCTGGACTTGGGTGAAGCCAGGATCCTAACGCTGCTTCCAGGTCTCCCACACGGGCACAGAGAGCCCCCAAGCACTTCTTCTTCACCTTCCACTGTTTTCTCAGAAGCTTTAGCAGAGGAGCTCGGTTGGAAGTGGAGCTGCCAGGACTTGAATTGGTGCCCATGTGGGATGCTGGTGCCACAGATGGCAGCTTTACCCACTGTTTCGTAGAGCCAGCCCTCATGTGAGTGGATAGCACTTGTCCACGTTAAACCCCTCCGTGCACTCTTGAATAAGCTCCTGACATATCCAGTCAGAAAGTTTAAAAGACATTTTGTTTTATTTGAAAGGCAGATTTTCAGAGAGAGAGGACAGAGAGAAAGACCTTCAGTCCCGTGGTTCACTCCTCAAGTGGACACGACAGCTGGAGCTGGGTCCATCTGAAGTCAGGAGCCTCTTCTAGGTCTCCCACGTGACTACAGTGGTCCAAGCACTTGGACCATCCTCCGCTGCTTTCTCAGGCGCGTCAGCAAGGAGCTGGGTCAGAAACGGAGCAGCCAGCCCTCGACCTGGTGCCCATGTGGGCTGCCGCCACCATAAGCAGAAGCTTAGTCTCCACACTAGGGTGCCAGCCCTTGTACTCAAAGCTTTTGATATAATTAATGAGGTTGCTTCTTGCTTGTTCACTAATGAAGTATGTGAGTTTTTTTTTTAAATTTTGTTTAGTGGATATGAGTTTCTTTAAAAAAAAAGTTGTTTTATTTTTTTAATCCATCTAAGTGGCAGAGTGACAGAGCGATAGGTACACACACACACACACACAGGGGGGAGAGAGAGAGAAACAGATTCCGTTCACTCCTCAATGCCTGCCATGGCCAGCACTGGGCCAGCTGGAAGCCAGGAAATAAGAAGTCCATTTGGGTTTCCCTTGTGGGGTAGCACCAAGCGCTTGGTCCAAGAGCTGCCGCCATACCAAAATGTATTAACAGGGAACTGGATAAGAAATAGAATTGCCAGAACCCCAACAGGCACTCTGAAATGGGATGTGGGTAATTTAACTGCCATGCCTCAACACTCTGATGCCAAGTTTCTTCATTTTTAAGTCTCGAGTTTTTGAGCTTTTCTTGACATGAACATGGTCACAGCTAGTTCACAGAGTGGCCCCGGTCTGAGAACCACACTCGGAGCTAACTGCACTGTCCCGGGCAGGTAGGAGCCGAGGGCCCTAAGGCAGTACAGTCAGTGCCGGAGATGGGCATGCGAGCTTAAGAGCGACCTGCCTCTGCTCTTCTCCACACCTCCTAACTCCCTGTGGCTTCCCTCTCTTTTTGCTTCTCCACCTTCTCACCTCTCCCTCTCCCTCTGGTCTCCTTGCCCTTCTGACAGGCCGGATTTACCCATGGGGGAACAAATTCCAGCCAAACCGCACCAATCTGTGGCAGGTAAGAAGCACCTGTGTCCCTCCCTGGCTCTGGCACTGACGGAGACCTGCTCTAGGCCAGGCGCTGTGGGACTCCGAGCACCCTGTGTTCTTACTTATTTATTTTTAAGGTTTAATTATTTTTATTGGACAGTCAGGTTAACAGAGAGAAGGAGAGACAGAGAGAAAGATCTTCCATCTGCTGGTTCACTCCCCAAGTGGCCGCAATGGCCAGAGCTAAACTGATCCAAAGCCAGGAGCTTCTTCCTTGTCTCCCACGTGGGTGCAGGATCCCAAGGCTTTGGACTGTCCTCGATTGCTTTCCCAGGCCACAAGCAGGGAGCTGGATGGGAAGTGGAGCAGCTGGGATATGAGCCGGCACTCATATTGGATACCAAGACATGCCAAGTACGAGGATTTAGCCACTAGGCTATGGTACCAGGCCCAACCCTGTGTTCTAATGGAACAGATTACTGATGACATGATGAGGCCAAAGGAGTGAATCACTGCCTGAGGGTGCCAGGGGAGGCTTCCTAGGCGGGGTGTCTCTGAGCTGATTACATTGGAGGTTGCCAAGTAGAAAGTGGAATGACAGGCCATCCCAAGCACGGGTACCAGCACGCAGGCCTGGCGCTGCTTTAGAATGTGTGCTGGGTGTTCAGAGATGTGGAGACTCAGTGGAGCCCCTGGAGAGGGCTGGCAATAGTGCAGTTAGGGGATTGGATGGAAGCAGACTCAGAAGGATGCCCAACCAAGGTGGTGTAGAGCCATCTGAGCTTTCCAAATGGGACAGGAGCACCATTTTGTTGGAGGCGGGGCTGCTAATTTGCTCAGGACTGAATGAAGTAGAGCTGGACCTGGGTGAGGATCTTTACATTTGAGGCTATGGCAGTGGAAGCAAGAGAGGAAGCTGAACCTGGGGAGAGGGGTGGGTTGACTGTGAAGATGGATAGTTTGTAATTAGTCAAACGTAGCCGAGCAGTAGAGCAGAGCGGTGGAGTCCAGCCTGAATCCAGGCTTTGGCAGCAATGGTCACGGTGCTGCCACTGTCCAGGAGACAGAGGACACTTGTTGGCGGTCAGCGAGCTAAGATTTCAACGGTTTTGATGCATTGGAGTCAGAATAGAAAACAGAGTCCTGGGTCAGAGCAAGTGGCTATGGAGTTCTCAGCATGCACCTTGGCAAGGTGCTGTCCTCAGAGAGACAGTCAGCTGAGAGCAGCTCAGCACCAGTGCTCGGGGACAAGCAGTGAAAACACCCGAGGACTGGATGACCCCAGCTTGAAACCAAAGCGTCACAGAAAAGTTCGCACTTGTTAACAATTTAGCCAGCTGCTTGAAACGTAGTTGCCAGCTTTTTATCTGCATTGTAAATGTTTGTTTGAAAGGAGTGGGAGAGAGAGAGATCCATCTTCCATTTGCTGCTTCACTTCCCAAACAGCCAGGAGCCTAGAACTCCATTTGTATTCTTGACGTGGGTGATTGGGGCCAGGTACCTGGAGCATCCTCTGCTGCTTCCGCAGGCACATTAGCAGGGAATGGATGAGAAGAACAGCCAGGGCATGAATGAGCACTCTGACATGGGAAGTGATGAGATGTGGTGATTTAAGCCATTATTGCCAGTTTTTAAACAGAGACAAAACCTATTTCAAACTATTGTGAAGGTGAACCTAAAAGACAGATAAGAGAAGCCCTAGCATGTGGTAGGGCTAAATAAATCAAAACCCTCACCCCGTTCATCCTTTGTGTGTGTGTGTATGTGTGTGTGTGTGTGAGAGAGAGAGAAAGAGAGAGAGAGCAACTTCTATAGAGTAGTGATGACTGAACCCCAATTTTAAATAAACAAATTGAACAAACTGTACCAACAAGTATGGGTTGCTTCTTTAAGAATTTTGGTTGTAAAATATGAGAGATTAGAAAGGTAGAGTCAGGGAAGATGAAGGGGAGTTGAGGCTGTGGGAGATAGAGGGGAAGGGCCTTATGAGAGGGCACAATGGGTGTTGGTGGTGCCAGGGAGGGCAGTGGTGGTCTGGTCTCCGGTGCCCATGCAGAGGGCATGTGACCTCAGGAACAGAAGGGTGGCCCCTCTTCCCAAGGAACCATGGTGAATGGGGTTCTAGACCAAGAGGGGGGATGTTGCAGAGAGTGGAAAGAGCAGGACTGGGCTGGGCATGCCAAGAACCACCCAAGCACGTGCCTTCCCTAAGCCAGGTTCGAGGTCGTGGTGGAGGACCAGAGGGAACTTGTTTGAGAGCTCGGGATAGGAAGCTGAGGTCACTGCCCCAGGTCACACAGAAAGGTGACCTGGATTTTTCTCTGCCGTGGGTCAGACAGCAAACCCTTCAACCTTAACTTCTCCCACCAGGGAAAGTTCCCTACAGGTGACACAGCTGAGGACGGCTTCCCCGGAGTCTCCCCTGTGAAGGCGTTCCCCCCACAGAATGACTACGGTATGGTCTCCCATGCCCACAAGTCGGTCAGAGTGTTCTCCCTGATGGATGGAGCAGAGAGAGAGAGAGAGGCCCTTCTGTGCCAGCACTTGCTCCCCAGGGACCCTAATGGGCAAGGGTCGGGGGGTGCCTGCCAACCTGGGACTGACTTGCCAACTGTACTACAGGGCTGTATGACCTCGTGGGCAATGTGTGGGAGTGGACAGCATCCACATACCCGGCTGCTCACGAGGACATGCGTGTGCTCCGGGGGGCGTCCTGGATTGACACGGCCGATGGCTCCGCCAATCACCGGGCCCGGATCACCACCAGGTGAGAAGCTTGGGCCAAGGGAACGCATGCCTTGGGTGCTGAGCAGCTGGACCCTGGGCTCCTAGAGCATACCCCTGCCTGCCACTGGGAGTTGTGGGTATGGAACAGGCAGTGAGCCACTCATCATGAAAGCAGAAGGGCCTGGAACAGCTGGGCCCTTTTCCTGCCAGCTCTTGGCACCAAGGGAGGCCGTGTGCTCAGCATGCTGGTCATGTGAGTTTCTCCTCTTGTCCTCATCACCCGGTAAGCAGAGGGAGGGAGAAGGAGTGGGCTCATCGCTGGGTCATCGCCCGTGATCATGGACTTACAGGCGCTTCAGACTGGTTCATCGTGATAGTTCAATCTTCACATTCACTTGATTTTATAATCAAGGACAGAAAACTCAGCTACATCCCAGGGCCTGCTTGTTTTGACCTAGCAGGTGGCAGCTGCATGGTTGAGTTCTGGGCTGCCTAGTGGTCCTCTAGGACTTTCTGCCTCCTTCGTCTGCGGGTTCAGTTTGTTGATCTCTGCCTTTCACCGAGAGGGAGTCCACTCTGACCAGGGTCTAGGGACACGAGGGTTGCTTGGGTGACTCTGACACTTGGAAAGCCTTTTGTTTTCCTCCTCTCCCCCTCTGAGGACAAAGTAATAAGAAAGTACTGGCCTGGGCACAGGGAGCTGGTCAGCCATCCACCCTACTCCAGCCCCGAAGCAGTGTCTCATCTTGGGTTTTTGGGTCTGTAAGGTAGCAAACAGATTCTGCCTCCCGGAGAAGTTGGGAAACAACAAAGGCAGGAATATTCACGAAAGCTTCTAGAAAAATGTTACGAGCTGGCTAGCACTGTGATGTCTCCACTTCCGGCCACAGGGTTTTTTCAGTCGTTGTTCTCAGTTATTAATAATAGGTGTTATTTCTTAGCTGTCTTTCTACCGTCACTTTCTCCCCTGTGTCCTAAGATGCCTTCTTTCCTGTCCCTTAGGCACTGCACAAGTTCAGGAACTGTCTTTCCACTAGGTTTTATTTCCCAGACAAGGCACCCTGCAGTTGTCTCTCTCTCTCCCTCTCTCTCACACACACACACACGCACACACTCGGTGCGTTGAGCAGGGCAGCTGGGTGACGCCCATGGCCTGTTTCTTAGCCCCTACCTACACTCTCTCCCCTTCTCTGACGAATCTAGGATGGGCAACACTCCAGATTCATCCTCGGATAACCTCGGCTTCCGCTGTGCTGCCAATGCCGGCCGGATCCCGGGAGAGCTGTGAGCAGCCATGCCAAAGAACCGGAAGGAAGTCCCCCCAGGATACCTGTGTCATTCATTCATCACACAGCCACGCGCCAGGACTTCTGACCTCCAACCTCCTCCCCTGTCCTTCTGTGGCAGGCAACCTCTCGCCAGGCCAGAGAGGACCTAACCCTCAGAGGAGGGCTGCCTGCTATGGTCCACGAGAGAATGGACTCCACTTGGTGACTGTGGCTGGAAGCTGGGAGCTTCTCCCTAAAGCTTGGACTTAAAGATTATGGTGGCCAAAGATTGGAACAGAGTGCCCTGAAAGACAGCTTATTAGAGATTTCTAAATCCGCACCCCTTTCTTCCTGTCTGACATGGAGGTCTGCCATTTCTCTGCTTTCCCAGAAAGTTACTGTGAGAGGAAAACGCTCATTCATGGGCCTCATCCATGGTGTTTCATGCCCCTGACTTCCTCCACCTGTCAAATGCGCCCCATGGACTCTTTCATAGACAGTGATGGTCAGAGCCTGGGAGACCCAGACGACTGACCAGGAGTCACAAAGCAAAATGACACCCCAGAGCGAGGCAGTGTTAGTAGCTTCCCCTTCTATTGGTAATTAGGGAAGGGCCCCCCTGTGCGGCTCCAGTCATGTCCCCAGAGAGTCCCGCGCAGCCCCTGGTGCCACTGGACATACACAAGATGGTAAAGTCCCATTGTGCAACTGTGCCACTTTGTGTGTGTATCATCCTCGCCCTGGGCACCTGAGGGAAGAGGGCTCCCATAAAGAGAAACCAACAGAGTGAGGTTGGCACAGCAGGGAAGCCTGGAACTAGAAGAACCCCAGGTCCCATCTGGTCTCCACGCTCAGGGCTGCCTCCTGGATCTGTCCGTGTTCATCGCTGCGTGACAAGCCCCCCTGCTCTCCCATACAGTCCCCGGGAAGGAACGTCGTGGCTTCCCCACCAAGCGCTCTTGGCCATGACCTTGCTCTTCCGACTCAGGTGTTCTGAGGCTTCCTCTACCCGCCCCGCCTTCCCGCGCAGGCCAGGCAACCCCTCAGTAGTCATCCTCGACCAGAGAGAAGAGCACGGCCTTGGGGGTGTTCTCGAAGAGGGCGGCCCGATTCTGCTGCTGCCCCTTCTTCACCCAGTGACCATAGATGCGGAAAGCGTAGGCATCGATGAGTTTGCGCAGAGGTCGGAGGGCGTAGGGGTCCCGGATGACGATCTCCCTGGTCACAGGCTTCGCCCTGCGGTACTGGTAGTAGATCCGCACCGAAGCCAGCACTGTTAGAGCAATCACCTGCCGAGGGAGGGCCAAAACGAAGTGGCCTCTGAGCGGCCAGCGCAGCCCGGGGAGACCCTTCGCAGGGCTGTGAAACCCTTCGCAGGGCTTCCTAGTGTTCCCCGACCTCCGCTCAGTCCCATGCAACCCGCACCTGTGAGGACCTAGACTGATGGAGGTGGTAGGCTGGCATCTGCCTTTTCCTTAGGGTGGCAGGAGCTGTCAGGGGAGGGACGGGGACTTGGGCACCTTAGTACCTTGAGCTTCCCCCGGGGGCTGAAGTGGCGCACTTCTTCCACCACGTACTGCTGGAAGAAGGGGTGTGCCAAAGCCTCTTCCGCTGTGTAGCGTTTCTGCGGCTGGACCACCAAGAAGCGAGAAACCTGAGTTGGGGGGAGGTGAAATGGAGGTTGGGAGGGAACATTGAAGACGTCCAGCATTTCAGAGGCCGCAGGGGTCTCTCCTGGTAGCCGCCTCCTCCCTTTGCCCTCCCCGCTGGCCTGGCCCCTCACCAAGTCCTTCACGGTGTCCGAGTAATCATCCCATTCAGGCGAGCCAAACTGGTAGTTGCCACTCATGATCATTCGAAGCATCAGCATCTGCTTCCGGTGCCAGAAGGGTGGCGAGCCAGCCAGTAGGGTGTACATGATGACCCCTGTGCTCCACCTGAAGATGGGCAGGGGCCACTTAGCACAGCCAGCTCTGATGGCTGGCAGAGGAGCAGGAGGGACCTGGTTGTAGCTCCCTCTACTCACATGTCCACCTCCTTCCCATAGCCCGGGTGATCTTCATTCATGGAGCACTCTATGATCTCCGGGGCCAGGTAGTTGGGAGTCCCACAGACCTCTGCAGGAATAGTTGCCATCAGGATAGGGTGCCGGGGAGAAACAGTAAGATGGAACAGAAACGGATGCTTGGGCTGGGACCCCGCTGACACTGACCAAGGGCAGGGGCTCAGAGGGCACCAAGCATGAGCCGGGTGGTTTCTTGGGTACTTGGAGCCATCCTTGCGTAGAAGGAGGCTGTGGGTACCTGGCTGAGCTCAGTCCTGGGACATATGTGCCTGGGATGGTGGGATGTTTGTTGCGGGATGAAGGTGGGTGGGGCGTGGCCAAGGGGTGCTAAGGGGAGTGACCCAGGCCATTTCTGTTCCTGGGAGAACCGGGGCGGGGGGGTAGGGGGAGACTCGGCTCCTGGCTGGACCTCGCAGCTTCTTTCCTGGGTCCAATTGGCAGGAGAAGCCAAAGTCGGTGAGCTTGATGTTCATGTCGTCATCTAAGAGGATGTTCTCAGGTTTCAGGTCCCGGTGCACAATGTTGAGTTTGTGCAAAGCACAGATCACCTCCAGGAGGGCCCTCATGATCTTTCTATGGTAGAGAAGACTCGTGTGAATGAGGAAGGATGCTGGGCAGGCTCCACCTAGAGCCGAAGAGGGAGGGAGGCCTCCTGAGCCAGAGGCACACACTCCCACCCTGGGCCTTGGACCTGGGGAAGAGAGTAGAGGGAGGAGCTGGATGCTCACCGGGTTTCCTTCTCACTCAGGGTGACCTTCTCAGTGAGGTAGTCAAAGAGCTCCCCTTTCTTCATCCTGTAGGAATAGAGGCTTGTAGCTGAGTTGGTCCAAGGACCACCCCCATGCTATCCCTGCTCTGATATATCAGTTGGATGGTGGGAGGCGGGGGTACTCTGTCGGGGCATAAAGCAAGACTGCATGAGAAAAGGAGGGACCCTGAGCAAGGAGGGACCAGGAGCTGTTTGCCCACTGGAGGCCCAAGAGTCACAGCTCTACCACACACTTCCTGGCGTGATCTAGAGAAAGGTCTGTGTTAGTCACACCCTCGGGGCTCCTCCGGGTAGCATTTAAAAAAAGAGCTTCCCCAAGCAACTTCAAAGGTTAAAGACATTTGAGCTGCCTCAAGGGCTGTATGAGACAGTGCCACAGACCAGGGTTGGGACAGCTGCAGCTGGTGGAATTAGACGGGGTCCCTGGAAAGTCTCCTTTGGTTGCGTATAGGAAGAGGTTCACCCTGTGTCCCCGCTACCCACCCTCCCAGCCCTCCAGGGAAAGCAGTGGGATTCCTTGGGCAAAGGTGGAGGAAGATGAAGGCAGGAACAAGGTGTACGGCAGCCAGCATTGCAGAGGAGGCAGAAAGACCTTGGGTTTGGCAGACAGGATGAGGGGGAACGGGGGCTGCAGGAGACAACCTTACAGAGTTGAACTTTATTTCATCCAATATCTGGGCCCTGTTGCTACAGAGCAATGTGTGAGCCCAGTTTCCTTCCTTTTCACTCACTTGCAAGGCGCTAGGACTCCCAGCTGCAGCAGCAACCAAGATGTAGCAGGGAATTTTGAGCACCATGTAGCATCTGTCCTCAGACCCCTGCCTTCCCATGGCCACCAGATCAGTTGTGTATCAAAGTCAAGCGGCATTGCACTTGTTCCGTATGGCTGCAGTGTGAACGGTCACGTGGGTGACTGTCTTAGGTCATTGCAATTCCCTGGACCGGCTTAGGTGTGATAAATCAAGACATCCCTACAACAGGGCTTCGTGTCACACGGAAGAGACTGCCATCCCTGGGAACCTGTTAGGATGATGACGACGGGTCTCAGACACCCAGCTCATCAAGCGTTTTGTTCTGCTGGCATTTGACAGGGGCCTCGTCTCTCCTCCCCTGCTGGTGCAGGAGCCGGGAAATGATGATGGTGGCGGTGGTGGTGAGAATTCTAAACCTCACCCTATTGTTCCACTGCTGCCTCTCCCTGTGGTGCTGTGCTCTATCCCATTTCCCTGCCCCACTCTTGCCTCCCTACAAACAGCACAGTTCTTCTCCAGTACCAGGTAGGTCCCATGAGCCAAACTCCTTGCCACAGATAACTTTCCTGTAGAATGTGTCTTGGGACTGACTGGCCATACTCTGCTCTTCCCACACACAAGTTTTCCCTACTAGGTACCCCAGCTCCCAGATTAGGCCTTTGCTTTGACACTTCCTTCAAATAATCCATGCCTCTCCATTCAGGTGAGGCACTGGCCACCTTGGTTTAAAGAAACTCCCATCTCTAGCCTTTTGTTCTGGCATTATTATTATTATTATTATTATTATTGAAATTGACCCTCATACATACTAGTGAGAGTCCAGGCAACATTTTAGTCCATGTGCAGTACAGTATGTCCTGGTGGAAACAGGGCAAGCAACATTTCCCCCTTGTCAGGTATTCCTTTGTCATTGGAGCCTTGGAGCGTGCCTCTCCTGGCTCATAAATGCATACTAGGTTACTATGGGCTGTGTGACTGCACGCAGCGCCAAGGGCGCCTCACATATGTGTGTCGGTGCATAGCTACAAGTCAGGGACTCTATTCTTTTCTTCCTTTCCTATACCTAGATGCTTAGAATGATAACCGAGTGACCGGCCAACACGGTTGTCTCTAACTGTTCACAGTGACATCGTGGCAATCACCGTGCTGTTTCTCTGTAACACCAGTGATGAATGTAGAGTTAAGTGGAGGGCTCTGGGTTCAAAACCTGGCAGCCTGACCCCAGCGGCTGAACTGTCTAGAGATCCCACGTGTCCTCCACAGGGTAGGGAGCACTGCTGGTCTCCTGGGTGCTCTGGATGGGAGGACGACAGTAAGCAGATTGTCCCCGAATGTCACCGGCTGCAGGGCTAGGTACTTACAGGTCAAACACCAAGAAGAAGAAAGTGTTGGTCTCATAAGTGTCCTTCAGCTGTACTGAAATGGAAATGGCAGGCTCGTCTCAAGTAGCAGAGGAGCCTGGGCAGGGCAGCAGGGGTGATGGGCTTATGGCTCCTGTGAGCTGATTTCAAACGCTAAGGATGGAGGAGGTGTCAAGGATGGTGCTCTCAGGAAGTCAGCCTGGGGTGTGTCGGGTCCCAAGGCTCTGAGCGCCCACTCCCCCCCGCCTGTCCCAATCCCAGCCTGGAGCTGATGGGGTCTCAGGTAGCAGATGACACGATGGATGGTTCCAGCCTGGCCACACCCTGGGACTGCACTCCCCGACTGGGACGCCAGGGTGGAAACATGGCCAAATGTCCAGCTGTGGCTTGGGGCCATCACTCACTGATGTTGGGGTGTCCCGACACCTTGCGCAGGATGTCCACCTCCTTCAGCGTGGCTTGTCGTAATTCCTGCACCTCCTCGGCACTGAAGCTGCCCCCACCGGTGACGTCGATGATCTTCACAGCGTACTCCTGGCTCGTGGGCTTGTGGATGCAGCGTCTGACCACACTGCTAACTCCCCTGGGGGCACAAAGGACAGAGGGGGCTGAGGACCACCCTCACTCACCACAGGGCAGGTCCCCCAATCCAAGCCACAGTAGGGATGTTCTCCCACATCTGATGACAGACACTCCCCGTCCCACCGACTGCCTGTGAACCTTGGGGGATAATGGGAATGGAGATCTAAGGACACAGAGGGGTGATTTGCCCAGAGCTGAGGAATAGCAAGCCTCCTCTTGGGCCTGGTGACTTACTGAAAGAAGAGGTACACTCAGGGTCACACCCTTCCCTCTGATCTCTGACCCTGACCCAAAGCTACACTTTGATGTGCTTGTTCATGACACTTGTAATTTTCTGCAACAAATATTTATTTATTTCACTTGAAAGGCAGAGAGAGAATATGCCCTTGGATCCTCTGGTTGACTCCCCATATGCCAACATTAAGCTAGGCTGAAACAAGGAACCCAGAACTCCATTCTGGTCTACCTCATCAGTGGCAGAGGCCCAAATAGCTAAGTTACCACCTGCTGTCTCCAGGTGCATTAGCAGGAAGCTGGATTGGAAGCAGAGGAGCTGGGCCTGGAACAGGTGCTCTAGTATGGGATATGGTGATCCCTAGCAGCAACTGAACCTGTTGTAGTGTCTGCTGCCCGAGCACCTGAAGCTTCTTGCAGGGAGAGGTCTCTGACCCCCTGAGCCTTTCACCTGCCATGACATCCTGAGGGGTGGGGCATACTCTAAACTGGGGGCTTCAACAAAAGTACAGAATGCTTTGGCGATAAAAATGAGGTCAGTTGCTCACTTAAAGGCAGCAGAGGCGGCTCCACCCTGCAGAGCCTGTACGCACCTCCTGCGGAAAGCCCAGATCTTACCTGCCCAGGATCTCCTTGGGCTCATAGTTCTCATAGAAGCCCTGTGCAGAATGGGAATCCGGCAGAGCTTCGTCCCGGGTCATACTCGGTCCCTCAGAGGTCCTGAGAGGCAAGCAGAAAGAAGCTGTTCACCCCACATTCCCCAGTGACGTGCATGAGGGTCAGAGGTGTTTCTCACTCCTCTTTGTTATCTCCTGGCACAGCCCTGGCCCACAGCAAATGGGAAAGCTTCAACCAGCCTTAGCTTCCTAATCCTGCCTGAGCCCTGGAGCTGCCAGTCTTTCTTCTTCCTGACTTCTCCCCCTTTTTCACATCACAAAGACGTGGCTGGATCCTTCCCGCCAGTTGCATATGCTGGTGACCTCCCAGGGAAACCACATTAGCTTCCGATACTCCTAGGACAGGCAGTACAGTCAACTAGGCACTGAGGCAGGCAGGGCTTCATTGTGCTATGTGCCCTTGGGAGAAGGCAAGAAGCATCACGGTTTCTTCTTCTCAATGTACCACTCTGATGGGCTCCCCCTCGTCTCCTGCAGCACCACCTGCCCTAACTGAGCCCAGCCCCCCTACCTGGGCTAGCCTCCTGTGTGCTAACCTTCCACTCGGTCCTCACTCATTCTGTCATAATCAGCTGTTTCCCAAACCCTCATTCGTTTATTTACTCCATCTGACATTCTGCAGACCAGTCTGCGGAGCTGGGTGGTGAATCCTGATCCCAGCCTCCAAGATCCCCTTGTCATCTCCCCCAGGAGAAAGTGACCTTCCCTGGATGTCCCCAACCCTCTCTGTTCTCTGTGCTCTCTGTGTCCATGCACACATGGAGCAGGTGTGGACATGAACCAGCAAAGGCTAGCCAGGTGTCCTGCTGGGTCCTAGCCCACGCGTCCAAGGTCCCACGGGCAGGATTGGCCCATCCTACCTAATGAAGGCCGCTGAGCCGTGCGTGGTGCTGCTGCTGCTGCAGAGAGGGCCTCCCAGGACCGGGATGCTCAGCTCTGGACACAGATGAGCTGAGCTGGCTCGTTCTGTACCAGGACCACAAAGGTTAATCCCAAGGACCTGAGCTCTCCCTCAGACACAGGCTTTGGAAAAGACAGTCAACTCCCAGCAGAAAGGCAGGCAAATGGAAAGGAGACACCGGCTGCCTCTCTGCAGGGCCGAGGCTACCCCTCACCCCACCCTTCCGGCCCCAAAAAATCCTGTCATCTCTCATGGAGCCAATTTGCTGACACTGGCTGCCTCAGCCTCAGGTTGGCTGTTCCAGGAAGTCTGGTGTCCCCACGACCGGGTGCCTGGTTACCAGAGGAAGGCTGAGAATAACAACAGTGTCCCCTGCCAGCTGCAGGCGCCTGGGTTGCATAGAGGCCTTCTTTGCTCTGTCAGCAACCAAGGACTTTGTGTGTGGGCCTTGGCAAATGTTTTCAGGCTCCCAAGTTGCGAGCACCCCTTACCTCCCAAAGTTGAGCAGCATCAGGCCTCTTGCTTCCCCCAGCCCTTCATGGCTAGAGGGTCTACCTGGGCCCGTGAATGCCAAGATGCCAGTCTGGACCCCGGGCACCACTCCCTGCTACAGCTGGGTTGGCCAACCTAATGTGACATTCACCTTTCCCGTTGGTGGGGGTGTGGGGTATATTGCCCCCCCTCCTCTTTATATGAGGCCAACCTTGTGCTTCTTTCTCTCTGCTGCCCCATCAGCCTTTCCCAAGACCCTCTCTGGAGAGCCTCAGAACTCCAGTCCTGGTCCTTCTAGAACTCAGCATCACTCCCCCACAAACCCAGAGTCCAAAACTCATTTGTCGGAGAACATTCTTCCCCGAGGGAGGCACGGGAGTTCAAGGGTCAATGCCGCCACACTCTCAGGTTCATCCGCCTTTTTCAGAAAGGCAGAGAAATTCATCCAATGGATTTTGGGGGGCTTCCCTCTTCTGTCATCCTGGCATTTTATCCACCCCTGGCCTGGCTACTCACCGTTAGGTTCTTCCAGGCCCTGGAGTGAGCTTGACGAGGATCCCAAACGTCCCAGAGCTCCCTGGGTGAGGAGCCAGAGCCCCCAGGGTGAGGAGAGGACAGAGTGAGAGAGAACGAAGCTGTGTCCCCAACAAGCACTTGTGGCCAGAGTCAGATATCCCGATGCTCTTCTTTCGGTTCTTGCTAGTTGATGACGGAAAAATGGATCCGAAAATAAATCACACCTGCAAACCTGGGACGCAGGCCAAAGTCCAGCAGGGACAGGACACAGGGCCAGTTTCAGCAAGGGGAGACCTCTGGTGGAGTGTGAGAAAAGCTCAGGCAACTTGGGACCAGGCGGGCAGCAGGAGGTGACTGGTCCTCCCTGCTGGGGCTCACCTGCTGTCAGGTGCAAAGGACACAAAGCCAGCATTGCAGGAAATGTAGTGAGGGGCAGGCCTGGTGGGGGTTGTTGGGGCACTACCGATTAGGCTGCAGTTCCCACTAGTGTCTGTGAGGGCAGGATGTGTGGTGGGCAGGGTCGGACTGAGCTGCAGCATCTGTTGGTTAACATAAAAGATGGGGCTGGGGACAGAACTGACCTAGCAACTGCAACTACCAGTGTGTAGTGTAACGAGGGTGATGGACTGAGCTGGACCCTGCACTGGCTCACACACACAGGAATCAGGTCTGGGATCACCTGTAATGAAGTTTTTTATGGGGGAAAATCCTCCAACTGGATCACTGGACTCCAAACTCCAACCACAGGGAAAATCACAGGATCTGTGGTCTGACTATGGAGTGCATGCGTCAGAACTGAGCCTCACTGTTCCTACTAGGACAGGAGGTGAATTGTGTAGGGCTGGCACATGGACCCCCTGGGTACGCGCAAAATCTGGCACTGGGAGAGGTTCTGATGGAGGAGCCTGGGCAACTCCTCTGGCAGGACGCAGTCTCTGCAGGTAAGTGTAAAAAGCATTATAGGAAACAGCCCAGAACAGGTCACGGAAAGTTACCCACTGGCATCCATTTGGCACGGGTCGGGGGCAGACCAGGCTGAACCAGTTCACGTCACCCACGGGTGAATCTGAGCACCGGAACAGAGTGTGAGTCAAGCCAGGTTCGGTCGAGACAACATGACGAAATGCCAAGTTGAGGTGACCTGTACCAGATGTGGCCGCAATACCCAAGAGCACACGTGAGAACCGGGAGGGAAGCGGCGAAGCCAGCAGGGGGAATGTGGAGGGCTTCCCTGCTGGACAACCACTCCCACTGGAGAGCATGGGTTGGGATGGGGGCAGACCAGGCCTTATGTGAACTAGACCAGGGAAAAGCCAGCTTGGGCTGACTACTCCAATTGGTACAAGCAAAAATTAGAGTGGGTCAGGGTTGGTTGGGCTTTACCGCAGCATCAGCTGGCAGGGGCTGGCACTGGAAGCTAAATCTGTGCAAAATCCGGGAGTGGGAGTGGCCCAGTAGGGCATGAAAACCAGGACGGGGCTGGAGTGGCTAAACAAGAAAGGCACCCAACAGCATGTGTGTGGGATGGATGGTGGAGCTGGCTGGGTTGAGCTAGGCTTCAATGCCCATTGACATCAATGAGAACTGAATGGGATGTGGGACAGACTGGACTAGTCTGCATCCCATACAGACAAGCATGGGAACCAGTGCACAGGGCGGGTCTGGTGGGGGTTATTGTGGGTCGCTCCAACCAGGCTGCAGCTCTCACTGGTTTATGTAAGGGCCGAGTGTGTGCTGGACAGAACCAGGCTGAACTGCAACAAACTTTGGTTACAGTGGAAGACAAGCCTGGAAACAGAAGCAATCTAGCAACTCCAACCACCAGCTGATGGGAGTGATGGACTGTGCCAGTTCCTGTACTTGCCAAGTACACACAAAAATCTGGTCTGGGATCATTTTAGACAAAGTTTCTTTTGGGATCTCCCCATTCAAACTGCCGGACTCAGAACTCTAACCATGAAAAGACAGGACAGAACAAGTCAATCAACTACCCCAGCTATATGTTGGCAGTGAAGAACTGGGCAGAGACTCTAAGATGGACTATGCCAATCAGTGGATTCTTCAGTGACCTCATTGTGCTTGGAGTGGCGAGAGTGGCAGTGATTCAGAACTGTTAAACTATCAAAACCACTTGAGCAGGACCCTTGAAGCATGCCCTACACCAGGGACCTGGGATGGGGCTTCTCCCTTTTCCCCAGATACAGGAAAAAAAAATGTGGAAATACTCTTATCCACTTTGCTGTAGCCCTTGAACCTCTGTGCCGTAGTTACGTAAAGACTGTCAAAAATAAAGGGAAAAAAAGAACTTAAAAAAGAAAACAAAGCAGAAGAACTGGGCCTCTTCAGTTGCTGAGCTGGTGCGGTGGATGGCAATGCCCAGATGCACATGGGGACATGATATATCATGACCTGCAGATGCACATGGGGACATCTTGGTTGGCAGACAACTAACTCTCCTGGTCAATCTTTGACAGCAAGTGTCTGGGGGAAGACCTTGGAAGCATTCCTGAACCTTGGAGCAATGAAATCGATACCATATCAGAACTATTAGAACCACGTAAGCAGTACCCTCGGAACACGCTCCACATCAGAGATCCCAGGAGGACATCACGTGGCCAGCCCACATCCACAGGTGCCGATGCACTTGGGCTGCTGGGAGCTGTCCTCTCCTCTTCTCTCCCCACAGAACAACAGAAAAAAGGAAGCGGGCCCGGCACAGTGGCCTAGTGGTTGATGTCCTCACCTTGAACGCAACCAGGATCCCATATGGGCGCCGGTTCTGATCCCAGCAGCTCCACTTCCCATCTAGCTCCCTGCTTGTGGCCTGGGAAAGCAGTCGAGGATGGCCCAAAGTCTTGGGACCCTGCACCCGCGTGGGAGACCTGGAGGAAGCTCCTAGCTTTGGATTGGCACAGCACTGGCTGTTGTGGTTGCTTGGGGAGTGAATCATCGGACAGAAGATCTTTCTGTCTCTTCACTATATACATATCTGACTTTGCGATAAAAATAAGTAAATCTTAAAAGAAAAAAGGAAGCAACTGTCTCAATCACTCCCTCATGCCTCTACCTTCCCGACCCTGATCAGTAATCCACACAGGTTTATAGCCTTCTCAATTAGGTAAACAACATCAAAACCAACCAAAAACTAATACACAAAGCATCATGCATAAGCCAAATCCAAATACTCATCTTATTTGTTTAGCATTTTACTAAGTACCTCATCTTCATTGGAAACTAGAACTCTGGGACTTGCTTGATCTTTAAGTCGGTAAGGCGTAAAGATCCATTCCAGATGTTGTAAATACCAGGGCTCCTCCCATTCTCCACTGGCCATCGCTCTCACCCTGGGAACGTATTGAATCACTACAGAGAAAGGAGTTGAGACTTGAATCTGAACACTAAGCTCAAGTCTTTAGGCCAATGGTGCATCCTAGACACAAGGGGGAGCTGGTCATCAGCACTGTGAAGTCACACAGGTGCCAGACCCCAGAAAAATCAGGAAAAGGACCTATTGACTAACCAGGTGATATTCTAAATGGCATCCCAGATGTCCTATTGGCTCTGCTTCCGATCCAGCTCCCTTCTAAAGTGCCTGGCAGCAGTATAGTCCAAATACTTGGGCCCCTGCTACCCACATGGGTGACACCAGTGGGGTTCCGGGTTCTCGGCTATGCTGGCCCAGTCCTGGTCATTAGTCAGCTGGGGAGTGAACAGCAAAGGGAAGACCTGCTCACCTTTCAAAGTCAAGTACTTCCGGGTCTTTCAGAAGAGGAATCTTTGCCTTAAGTGTAAGAGAACAACTGCAGAGGAACTGCTTCTCTCAAGAGAAAGCTTCTTACCTTCTATCAACTGGATGTGCTGGGGAACGGGATCAGGCCACCGCGTGCTGACACGGAACCAGTGCAATAGCTCTATTCCCACCCCTACCTAACTCACCTGTCAGACTGAAAAAAAAATTATGTCATGTGTGTGTGTATGTATGTGCGAATGTTTACACACATCTACGTGGGTGGGTTATGGTGAGGCCTCCTACCTACTACTGTTTACTTCATGAGTTCTATGGGAACCTTTCAAACAGCACGGCTTCTAGTGAGCTCATTCTTAAAAAACAAACCCAAAAAACCTGGACAGCCAGGAAGCTGTCGGATCTCCACGCGTACGCCAATACCCAGGCTACAGACTTCACGCACTTAACAGACTTGCTGAGACAACCATGTTTTCCTGAAAACACACATGTCGGCACGCGGTGCATACCACACTGAATTCATGACCTTACACTGAAAAAGAGCCATGTTGGAAGGAAATCACTTTATTCTAATCATAAACAATAACATTACAACAGCTTGTTCAAGGTGCCTGAACATCTGCTTAGCCCCAAATTCAATTTAGTAAGTTTCCACACAGCAAAAATGCCCTCTCGCGCCGCAACGCGGACCCAAGGGAGCTCTTCCAAGCAGACGACAGGCTGACCTGTGGCTTTACAGCTCAACTGTGACTATCGATTACACTGCTATGCTAAAGTAACTTGGTCGAGAAACTCGATTTTCTACCTTCATCCTGAACTTCTTGATTAGAGTAGTCCTGCAAAAAAGAGAAAGGCAGGTGAGAAGAGCACGCGCACACATCCACCCAGCCCAGCAAGCTCCCGAGGGCGCTGGTTTCATTTTTGGGCTTCTGAAGGCGTCCTGTGGCCAACACAACTCCTGGCCTTTGCCTCAGTGTGCGGGAAGACAGTGAGCTGCTTGTGTGCCTCTGGGGAACAAGCGCCAAGGCACAAGGTCGCAAGTACGACTTCCGATGAACCCGAACGTGCAACCTCCTAATCCCACAGTGCAGACATCTGAAAGGGAGGAATTCTTCTCCCTAATTTCCTAACCTGAATATATAACCTGGATGCGATTTCTTAACTCGGCAAGAAAATCACAGAAAAACCAGACTGACTGCCAACATCCCAAAGAGCCTAATTCACCAGGACTCTACCAAGGGACTTGCTGAACTGTCCTTCACTAAAACCTGAAGAAAATCAACAAATGATCAGCTTGTATGTCCACGGCTGGCAAAAAGGTCCTCACTTCTATTCACGGTCCACAGTATTAGACCACAAGATCTGACACGGTGATTTATATCTGTATGGCAGAGAACAAAACATAGTACATTTCTGAACTAGTTTCTTCTCCAAGAATGAAATGATGTAGGAATTTGGCACCATGATGAAGATGCCATGCCTACATCCTATATCCACGTGCCTTGGGTTCAAGATCCGGCTTTGCTGGACCCCTGCCACCCACGTGGGAGGACAGACTGGTCCTCAGCTTGCTCCGGCACTGTCTATCACAGGCATCTGAGCAGTGAAATCTTGGAAGATTGCTCCCCGTCTCTTTCAAATAAAGGTCAATAAATTCTCTAAAAAGAAATGATTTCCCTCTAATTTGTTAACAGACACAGCCTGAAAAAGAATATGATTGCAAACTGAGCAGACACAAGCTTGGAAAACCACCTACCATTTGCAATTCTGCACTGTCTCAGGACTTCGTTGAAACCCTCGCAGAGCTTGACATCGCTCTGGCTCTGGGCACACTCCAGGAACTGCTTTATCTCATAGGAGCACGGGCCAAACTCCTGCTGCTGTGCGGCGCGGGCTCCCTGAGGCTCCTGCAGGGGCACAACGGAAACGCGAAAATCACTGACCTCGCCAAGGGGCGGTATCCACCAACTCTGAGGTTAACTGTGGAAGTAGGACTAGACAAACGCAAATTTACACGAAAACCAGGAAGACCTCAAGGTAGCAAAAAAAGGAAGCTTCAGCAAAACTCCGGTGGAAATCAAGTCAACAATAGATACAGATAAGGTGGCAAGGTTATCTGGGCTGCTCAAGGTTAAACATTTCAGTGAAGTTCTAAGGAGGAAAAGCAGGACAGCAGAAACACGGGTGGATGCAAACATCCACGGCACAGGGCAGACTCGAGCCCACGAAGACCGCTCCTACACATCATGAACTTACAAACACTCAAACACAACACTGAAAAGTAAACAGCACCCCCCCCCCCATCTTACCTGGTAAGTGATGTCGGGCCTGGCGGGCTCAACGTTGCTCCCTCCGCTGAAGCCCCCAGTGATGGCATGACCCAGCGTGTGGCCCACGGCGGAGCCCACGGCCACACCAGCCGCAGTGGTGGCCATCTGGGCCATGAGGCCTGGCTGTCGGGGTGCGGCTGCGGGCGTGCCAACTGCAGATGGTGGAGCTGCTGCTGGCGGCTGCGCTGCTGCGGCTGGCCTCGGAGCGGCTCTCATCGGAGGAGCCCGGCTTGAAAGACAACATAAAACATTAACTTGCCATTTCCTCCTGTGCAAATTACCGACTTCAAAAACACTTGATCACTAAATAAATTTCAAGGTATTTAATATAATCAACCCAACAGAAAATGCTTACTACAACAGACATACAAGGATCTCAAGGAAAACAAATTGCATGATTTTTTTTAGCTTTTTATTACAGCTGTAAGTACCAAGTACATGTTTTATAATGTTTTTTTTCCTGGTGTTCTGAGCTTTTCTGTATATTCACCTAGCCCATTCTATTTTTAAAGAAGCTATCAGCTATTCTAATTAACATTTATAAGTATATTTAATGTTGCAAATGTATATGTTAATATATATATATTTACATACTTGTAACATTAAGAGTCACAGGGCCCTGAACAACAGTGCAGAGGTTAAACTCCCTGCCTTGAACACACCGGGATCCCATATGGGCGCCAGTTCTAATCCCGGCAGCTCCACTTCCCATCCAGCTCCCTGCTTGTGGCCTGGGAAAAGCAGTCGAGGATGGCCCAAAGCCTTGGGACCCTGCACCCGCATGGGAGACCTGGGAGAGGCTCCTGGTTTCAGATTGACTCAGCTTTTATGGCCGCTTGGGGAGTGAACCATCGGATGGAAGATCTTCCTCTCTGTCTCTCCTCCTCTCTGTATATCTGCCTTTCCAATAAAAAATACATGCATCTTGAAAAAAAAAAGTTGCAAAGATTCTTAGATAAATTATCCCAATACCACATAGCTACAACCCACAACGGACCGCTGTCGGTGCTGGGAGTGTAACTGAACAAAACTCTGCCTCCACAGACCTGGAAAGATCTCAGACCTCCACAGACCACGAAAATGTCACACCCTTACATGTCAAAAAGAAATTAAAGACAGGGAGCAAATTGTGGGCTGTTGCGATTTTAGAATCACCAAAGGTCTCACCAAGCTGTTAATATCTGAACTGAAGGTGAAAGACGGTAAAGGGAAAAGAATCTACTCGGTTCCCTCACCGTACAGACCAGAAAACTGGGCGGTCAGAACGACTGTTCTGGCTGACTTCACCAGGGCGTCCAACACCGTTTTTCAAAAAGAAAAAATAACAGGAGAGGGGACGCCTCGCGTGGGAGTGGCGGGAGCCGTCACTGCCTCCCGGCGTCTGGACTGAGTCAGGAGCCGGGGGCGAGCATCGAACCCGGGCCCTCGGCCACCGGAAGCGGGCGTCGGACGCGCTAAGCCACAGCCCGCGGTCCCTGCCCATCTCGAATCCTGCCTCGGGTGCCCTTCTCCCCAACAAGATTACGTCAACAAGTGGCGACCTGGCTTCCAGCCACACGCTTATACAACGTCTTTCCGTCCTGAAGACGGCTCTCTTCGCTGCGGCCACGCCGTGCGGCCACGACCCACCCCGGCCTGGCCGCCGACTCGCTCCCCGCGCCGGGAGGACCAGGGACAGGCTCACCTGGCCGGGGGCGGCATGCGGGAGGTGCGGCTTCGGCTTCCGCGCGGCATTGTCACGGACGTACGACTCGGCGTCGGAGAAACTGAGCAGTCCGGCCGCTTCTGCCAAGGAGAACGGAAGGCGGGAGGCGGCGCCGGCCGCCGCGTCCCACCAATCAGCGCCCAGAAAGACTCTGATTCGCTGGCGTATCAGCGGCCCCTGAAGGTCATTGGAAGAACAGGGCCTCACGACAGAGCCTCGTCCTGCGTAATGACGTCATGAACCCCGCGTCTGGGCGCTCGCTGTAACCGGAAGTTCCTGCGGTCGCTCTGCGAACTTTGTCCTCCGGTGCTACAGTGAGACAGGCAGTTTGCTTCCTAGGCCAAGGAGACCCTGCGTCCTTCAGCCATTTGTGTTATTGTAACTCAACCTTGAACGTGAGTCACATTTTTGGCTCGACTGCCAGGGGAGTTTGAATAAGGTACTTACTTGAGCAGTTAGTTGGGTAGCGGAGACAAAGGTTTTATATCCCCTCTGACGTGAGTGCTGGCATCGGCCCTGCTTGGGTCCTGATAAGAAAGGAATGTAGGCCTCTGTCCATCATTGGCCCGTATGTGGTCTTGGCTTCCTTTGGGGCATGACGGATACCTGGCTGAGGTCACTGTGGTGTCCACCCACTTTCTGTAACTGCGGTAACCATCAGTGTATAGTGACCTATACCCTAACTTGTGTGGTAGGTGGCTAGGTAGGTGTTAGCCTTGTGTGTGTAGAAAGGCCCAAAGAAAATGAGACTAATGGTCTGGTAACAGCTGTTAAAGTCCTTGGAGGATGTGGGTGAATTCCACATCCACATTGCGCTCCACCCAGCAATTTCCCAGAAGAGGGACGGAGAGAAGGAGAAATCGAATTGTTGGGGGGCACACCCTTATTCATAAATCTCTAGTCTGAATTTAGTCTGTGCTCTGAGTCCTTCACTGATCTCTATCTTCAGGTATATTCTCTTCATTTTAAATTTTTGCCACCCCACTTACCACTACTGTCTTATAATGATAGGCCCGGGGCACATCCTTCCAGCTAGTCTGCAGAACCACCTGGAGAGAGCAAGATCTAGGGAAACTGTGGGCATCTCTCTGATGGGCTGCAGCTCCCACTGGCAAGCATGAGAACCAAGACTGGGGGGGGAAGCTTTGCTAGACAGGCGGTGGCACCCACCAGCATGTGGGATGGGTAGTGGGGTCGGTTGGGTTGAACTAGGCTCCAATGCCCATTGATATATATGAGAGCCAAATGGGATGCGGGACAAACTGGACCAATTTGCTGCACATACGGGCATGTGCAGGAGCCCGGGTTGGGGGAAGGCCTGGTGGGGGCTATTGGGAGTTTCTCTGATGAGGCTGCAGCTCCGGCTGGTGTATGTGAGGGTCAAGTGTGTTCTGGGCTGAGTTGCTCTGGGCCACACAGCACCGATTGGCTTACATAAGAGACAGCTGGAGACAGAAGTGACCCAGCATTACAGCCAGCAGTGTATGCATAGACTGATGTAGGTGATGGATAGAGCCAGACCCTGTACTGGCCAGCACACACAAGTCAGCTGGGATCACTTCAGATGAGGTTTCTTCAGTAATTCCCCCAACTGAGCCGCTGGACTCAGAACTCCAACCATGAAGAGAATTGCAGGATTTGTGGTCTGACCATGGAGTATATGTGTCAGGACTGGGCCTCCTCAGTGGCTTAGACACAGTAGTGGATGGCATACCTATGGAGGATATGCAGTCCATTGGAGCCCTCAGAGGACATCTAGTACCACAGCAGAGGAAGGAGGGCACAACAAATTGGTCAACAACCCGAGCCAGGTGTTGACAGCAAATATCTGGACAAGGGGAGATGTTTTTTTAAATTACCTTTTTTAAAGATTTATTTTATTTTTATTACAAAGTCAGATATACAGAAAGAAGGAGAGATAGAGAGGAAGATCTGTCCAATGGTTTACTCCCCAAGTGAGTGCAACGGCCGGTGCTGTGCCCATCCGGAGCCAGGATCCAGGAACTTCCTCCAGGTCTCCCACACGGGTGCAGGATCCCAAAGCCTTGGGCCGTCCTCAACTGCTTTCCCAGGCCACAGGCAGGGAGCTAGATGGGAAGTGGAGGAGCCAGGATTAGAACCGGCGTATGGGATCCCATATGGGATCCTGGCGTGTTCAGGGCGAGGACTTTAGCCACTAGGCCATGCCGCCGGGCCCAAGGGGAGACTCTTAAGGTAGACTCTGTCAGCCTTCAGACCTTGGAAAGATTTCTTCATCCTTGGATCAGCAAGACTGAAATTTCAGAACTACCAAAACCACTTGGGCAGAAGCTTCAGAGCACACACCATATTGGGGGGACCGTGGGTTAATGTTGGGTAACCAGTCCCCATCCCTGGTGTTTGAGAGGCTGGGTGTGCCTTCTCCCCTTATCTCACCGCTTCCCCCAGAAACAGGAGGAAGAAAAAGAAAATTTAGAAGCAATGGTCTCGTACACTTTCCCCTAATCCTTGACCCTTCCCACCCTAGTCAGCTATTTAAACATCATCAAAAACTAAAAGTTGAAAACAAAAACAAAAACAAAAAACAAACCAGCAGAGTGAGCCAAGGCCAGTGCAGCTGGAGCAGAGCGAAATCATCTGAGACTAAGCTGGAGAAGTGGGCCACCATCTGACCTGGAAAATTTTGGATTTCTTTTTGAAGATTTATTTATTTTTATTGCAAAGTCAGATATACAGAGAGGAGGAAGATCTTCCATCTGTTGATTCACTCCCCAAGTGACCACAATGGCCGGTGCTGCGCCAATCTGAAGCCAGGAGCCAGGAACTTCCTCTTGGATTTCCCACATGGGTGCAAAGTCCCAAGGCTTTGGGCCATCCTCGACTGCTTTTCCCAGGCCACAAGCAGGGAGCTGGATGGGAAGTGGAGCTGCTGGGATTAGAACCAGTGCCCATATGGGATCCCAGTGCATTCAAGGCAAGGGCTTCAGCTGCCAGGCTACTGCGTCGGGCACTGGATTTTTAAAAATGGTTTATTTATTTATTTGAAAAGCAGAGAAGAGAGAGAAAGAGGGCATCCATGTCCATCTGCTGGCTCACTGCCCAAATGGCCACACAGTTAGAGCTGGGACTGTCCAAAGGCAGGGACCAGGAGCTCCTTCTGGGTCCCATGTGGGTGCAGGGACCCAAGTGTTTGGACCATCCTCCACCAGGCACATTATCAGGAAGCTAGATGGGAAGTGGAACAGCCAAGACTTGAACCAGTTCCCAGATGCCACCACTGCAGGCAGTTGCTTTACCCAAGTCACAGTACCAGGACTTGGATTTCATAATAAAAGCAGCTATCAGCATATGTGAGGGACAGAAAAGGAGTGACATCCAGGGTTTTGCTATTTTTAAAAAATTGTATTTTATTTGAATGTCAAAATTATAGGGAGGGGAAGAGACGGAGAGATCTTCCATCAGCTGATTTAATCCCCAGAGACCCACAATGACTGGGGCTAGGAGAGAAGGTTGGAAACAAAAGTCCGGATTAACAAGTATAGAATCTGAGGTAAGAGGCACATGTAGCCACAACAGCCAAAGTTGAGCCAATCCAAAGCCAGAAGGCAGGAGCTTCTTCCAGGTCTCCCATGAGGGTGCAGGGTCCCAAGGCTTTGGACCGTCCTCGACTGCTTTCCCAGGCCACAGGCAGGAACTGGATGGGAAGTGAAGCAGCTGGGCTACAAACTGGTGCCCATTTGGGATTTCAGAGGTTGGAGGACAGAGCCATTGTATCAGACCCCTCCCCACTGCTGATCCACCTCCCTATTAGCTTGATGAAAGATGCGTCTCCTGGGGCTGGCACTGTGGTATACTGGGTTAAACAGCTGCCTGCATCCCACACGGACAGCACTTCAGGTCCCCACTGCTCTATTTAATGCACCTGGGAAAGCAGGGCAGACAGTCCACGTGCGTGGGCCCCTGCCACCCATGTGGGAGACCTGGCTAGAGTTCCTCCTTGCAAGTCGGCTCCGCCTGGCCGTTAGGCCATTTGGGGAATGAACCAGCAGATGGAAGTCTTCTGTGTATAACTGTGCCTTTCAAATAATAAGTAAATCTTTTTCAAAAAGTAAGTTTCCTGTAAAATTCTCCATTTTCCAAAAAATTGCGAAGATGTAGCATGGTTTGCACTTAACACGTTTACCATAAACCACAGGAAAATTATGGGTTGAAAAAGTTAAAATTTAAAAAGATATAGTCATTCAAAAGGCAAAGACAGAGGGTGCAACAGGTGAGAATGGGTGGGGAGACACCTCTCGTCCCTAGATGGACTTCCTAAATGCGTACGGCCAGAGCTACTTCAGGTCTAAGCCAGGAGCCATGAACTTCATCCTGTCCACCACGTGGGTGGCTGGAGCCCAGCTACAGTCGCCATGCCTTAGCAGTCAGCTGGGTCAGAAGGTGAACAGCAGGGACTCCACCCCGCTTTGCATTCTGGGGTGTCCTCCCATGCAGCAGCTGCAGAAACATCTACTTCTTACAGAGCCTGAGAACTCGGGTCGGAGGGCCTGGTCTACTGTGTAGTTGATGCAATCGTGGTCTCTCTGTGCCTGGCGAATGCCTTCTCTACACTGGGCATGCACGGCACCAGACTGTGGCATCAGAACCTAGCAACTGTGCCATACACACTATCATAACAAGCAAACAGTAAACCCTCAGCGGAGCCCGTGACACCGAGGCAGAAATGTGGAATAAATTCCCAGCACTCGTCTCATTCATCTTGGTGATCTCTATGCTTAAGAGCCCAAGCATCTGTGGTCCTTAAACGAATGCATACGGCAACTGGGGAAGCAGAGAACGAAAGAGTTAAAACTCCATGCTTGCTGTCCTTTTAATGAAAAAAATCCTAAAAAGGCATATCCACCTGGATGTTACTTAACAATCAACTAGTAGGAGAGAGACAGTGAAACAGCAAAGTTAAAAGCGATGTTGAAAAGCTGCCGATCAACACGGATTTTGTCCTCCCCTCAGGACCACAGCCGACAGTTGGAATCCAATAAAATACTCTCATGAAGTCCTTCGGGTATTCTGTAAATTAAAAAAAAAAATCAGTTATTTCTCAAGCCTAGTACCAGCGCTTGTATTAAAAAATAAAAATGTTCCCGCCCGCCCCCCCCCCCCCCGGCCCGTCTCCCACTCAACTAGCAAACACTGAAAAGCAAGGCAGCGTTAGCCTTCCACCTGCAGTCATTGTCCCAGCTGGGGCGCAGGGGACGTGGGCGCGGGGCGGCTCAGGCCAGGCGGGTGCGTGGACGCGGCTTCAGCTGGCGCTGCCGACGCTTGCGCTGCCCATTGAAAAGCCGCTGCGCGATCTTGCGCTCGTGGCCGGCCGGCAGCGGCCTCCGGCTGCGCAGCTGCTGCTCCCGCCGCGTGCGGCCCTTGCTGCGTCCCGCCCCACGGGCCGGGAAATCGCGCAGATAGTAGTAGTCCAGGCAGTCGTCAGGTTCCTCTTCGAGGCTCGCCGGCGGCCGGGCCCGAGCCGGGACTCGAACTGGCGGCCCCGGAACCCGCTCCATGATGCCCGGCCGCCTGGCTGGCTGGCTGGCTGGCTGCTCCCACGCGCCCGCGCGGAGGGAGCAGGGCAGGCCCGCCCCGAGCTCCCATTGGCTGTCCTGCGGAGAGGGCGGGGCCGAGGACGTCACAGAGCGGCGACTCCTGCGCTGCAGCCGTGCGCGGCTCTGGCCGAGGCCAGAGATCCGCCGGTTCGGCCCTGGTGTCCGCGGTGACCCCGCGGTTTGTTGTTCGTCAGAGTGTCCATCCAGGAGAGACCCATTAATGAAGAGGGAAGGCCGTGCCCCGCTCCGGGAAACGTCTAACAGCACCCGGACGTCTCGTTGTGCTATTTCCTCACGAGAGAAAGTGCTCGAAAAATCAAGTGAAAGCTGGAGCATCTAAGGGAAAAAGTCCTTTTTGTCCTAGGAATGTGTGTTCGTGTCTAGGAAAGGCAAATTCACCCCGTGCCTGGAAGTGCTGTCCCTGATCCCTGTCGCCCTCCCGCAGGCCCCGAGGCGCCGGGCGCGCCTGCAGGTGACAGGATGGCGGGGAAGGTCGCTCCAGGGCGGCCGGGCCGACTCCCGGGTCTCATTAACCAATTAGAGGGATGGTGAAGAAGGCCTTGTTTGGCTAGCGCAGGTGATTCTCATCCCGCAAAAATTGCAGCTGCATCCCTCGGCATTTTTTTTAATAAATAAAAAAAAATTTTTTTAATCTCAAAAAAAAAAAAAAGATTTTTTTTCCCCCTCTGCTCTTCTACTGGGTTTCCTGCAGTTATTTCAGGTTCCTTGGAGGAGCGTCCTATATACCTGGCTGCTAGGGCAATTTTGATGATTTCCTGAAATGAACAAGGCCCAGGGGAGTGTCTTTAATAAAACCCAGAAGGGATTTTTTTACTTCCACCTACATAGATGTCTTACATTTATGCTGCTGAGGAAAAAAAAAAAAGTACTTGTTCGCTGTATCGGTGTAATCTCTTTAAAAATTTGTTTCAGAAATATTCATTCTCAAAAGTGAAGAGAATAAGGAAGCCTCATTTCACAAGGGTTCAGCAGTTACCAAGATGCTGACACATTTGCTGTATTTGTACTGCTGTATCATTTAAAACTGCAACTATCATTTTACTCCCTATATAAGCCAGTATCCAAATCTAGAAAAAAAAATTCTTGTTTTACCATAATGTCCTTTTCACACCTGACAAAATTAACTACTAAAACCAGTACGCTCTCATATCCAGCTTTTGTTTTTTAAGAAAATGCTTTCCCTGATTACATTTTACAGTTGTTCAGTTCAGAATATATACAGAATCCAAACATGAAAGTTGAGTGGCTTTTTTTTATGATTTATTATTTATTTATTGGAAAGTCAGATATACAGAGAGGAGGAGAGACAGGAAGATCTTCCACCCGATGATTCACTCCCCAAGTGGGCGCAACGGCTGGTGCTGTGCCGATCTGAAGCCAGGAGTCAGGAACTTCTTCCGGGTCTCCCACATGGGTGCAGGGTCCCAAGGCTTTGGGCTGTCCTCGACTGCTTTCCCAGGCCACAGGCAGGGAGCTGGATGGGAAGTGGAGCTGCCAGGATTAGAACCGGCATCCACATGGGATCCTGGCGCGTTCAAGGCGAGGACTTTAGCTGCTAGGCCATGCTGCCGGGCCCTTGAGTGGCTTTTAATTGTGTTCCATCTAGACCAGGACTCTTGGCATTGACATGTAGAAACGGGGTCAGTTGTGCAGTAGAATATTTCATTCTGTGATTCTACCGCTTCCTTCCTGTTGCTGTGCCACAACGATGGACTTGGTGCACGGAGCAGATAATAACACGCGTGGACTCTGACTGATGGTCAAAGCCGAAGTTTATTAGTGGCATCAGACTTTATACACTGAGGGTCATGTGGGATAAGGGAGGGGATATTGAGCTTATCAACAAAACCCATCACCTGTTTCCATACTTCAGTGTGGAACTCCTTCTGTTTTATATATTCTACCAAGCCGTCCACTCAGCCGCTCTCATACAGATTATATCCATTTAGTTATACGAACGGTACACACTTAGTTGTTCTCATACAAATGATGTCCAGGCATGTGGGGAGCCATGCATTTGGGTTGGATGGCATGGGTCTGTGAGGAGTTTCTGGCTGGGTGGCAAGGCCTGGCAGAATGTCTCTAGTCGCCTCATGGTTGCCTTGCCCCATTGTATGGACACGCAATCACCTCTATGATGTTTCATAGAATCCTCCTGAGGGTGTGCTTTTTTTTTTTTTTTTTAATTGGAAAGACGGATATACAGAGAGGAGAGGCAGAGAGGAAGATCTTCTGTCCGAAGGTTCACTCCCCAAGCGACTGCAACGGTTGGAGCTAAACCAATCCAAAGCCAGGAGCCTCCTCCAGGTTTCCCACATGGGTGGGTCCCAAAGCTCCAGGTCACAGGCACGGAGCTGGATGGGAAGTGGGGCTGCTGGGATTAGAACCAGCGCCCCATATGGGATACTGGCGCTTTCAAGGCGAGGACCTTAACTGCTACGCTATCACGCCAGGCCCATGGGGTGGTGGTGTTATTTTTCTGCAAATGTGAAATGATTCCTGTAATTGATATAACACCTCAAACTGATCAATCATGTTCCAATAAAAACGTCTTTAGCGAAGTAAGGCAATGACACACAGCTAAAAGCATACAATAGTACAATTGAGCCCACAGTGTCTCCAAACATCCTGTTATGTGCCCACCCTTGTCCTGAAGTTTGCCCTAATATAAGTAATGTTTTCCTTAGAAACTGCTTGGTAATATCTTGGAACAGATGGCAATCATGGAGATACAATCATGGGCACAATCATGGGCTTGGTGTGGTGGCATTTAAGTTGTTCCTGTGTCTCTCATAGTTGCCATAGATTGTGGTTGAATATAGAGACCCACTAATACATTCAGTCTGGGGACAAGAAAAATGTTCTAGGAGATGATGTACATTTGTATTACATGAGCCTCAAAGTCCAAATTTTAGAGAGGTTGGGCTCCAGCGGTGACAGCTTGCCCTGTAATTTAGAGTTCCTCATCAGACTTTCATGCATAAGCTTCATGCATTGTTTGCTGCTTTATTTGCTCATACTCTCATTTGCTCTTGTTCCTCTAAGAGCTATGGTAGTGTTCTATTTCTTTTATTTTTAAAAGATTTGTATATTTTTGTTGGAAAGGCAGATTTATAGAGAGAAGGAAAGACAGAAAGATCTTCCATCTGCTGGTTCACTCCCCAAGTGGCCACAACAGCCCAAGTTGAGCCAATCCGAAGCCAGGAGTCTCTTCTGGGTCTCCCATGCAGGTGCAGGATCCCAAGGCCGTGGGCTGCCCTCGACTACTCTCCCAGGCCACGGGCAGGGAGCTGGAAGGGAAGTGGATCACCTGGGATATGAGCCGGCACCCATATGGGATCCCAGCACATGCAAGCTGAGGACTTTAGCCATTAGGCTATCATAACGCCCAGTTTTCTAATGCAATCATTCTTTTCCACATCTCATTAACTAGAATTCTTTCCCCACGTGAATTAAAGCTATATGGTTATCCTGAAATTCACTTTCAGAGGAAAGGCAGAAAAAGGGTGTAATTCTTACCTTTTGGAAGGCAGATTTTCAGGGGTTCTAATGAATTTCAGTTTTTGTTTTGGGGAATCATGAATTCATGGATCTTTAAGAATATAGTCATATATTTAATGTCTTTCAATATCGTGCAAATTTATTTCTTCTTATGCTCAAATTGTCCTATCATTAACAAATGAGACTCCATATGCTCTGCTGTTTTGCCATTAACCTGGTAGTCTTGGAGAACACGTTTTGTTTCCTGCACGCCAATGTTTCCAGGCTCACCTTGTGCTTTCAGGCTCCTAGGGCTGAAATCAGCCATTGTTCCAGCAAGTTCAAATGCTTTCAATGTGGAAAAGGGTACTTAAAGTTAGCAGGCTCCTTCGTAAGAATTGATCTTGTTGAGTAAAATTTATAAGAGACCATTGGTTTGGACTGAAGTTCTATAGGCTCAACAGATCAATACAAAATGGAATTTCTTATGTTATACCCGTATACTGACAAGATGGAACTTTTGGGCTTCCAACAAATTTGGAGGTGTAAATATGGGAGAGAGAGAGAGACCAGTTCAGCAGACATAAAAAAAAATTCCCTCTGCTTCAGCCTTTACAAGAAAAGTAACTGTGAAATGACCAGTGTCTGTTCTCCGATTCGCTCTGTTTTATAGAATGAAGTATGCTTCTACAATCACAAATGAAAGCCAATTCAATCTTGACTTGTGTTGTAATATTGTCTGTTTGAAAATTTTTACTAGAACCCTATGAAATATTCTGGCCTCAATTTTCTTTTCTTTTTTTAAATTATTTAAATTATTTTTTAAATAATCTTACTTAGTTGATTAGGGTACAAAGGGTCAAGGGCTACAGGGTGAAAGTGGGCAATACCATTGTTTCCACACTAATATTATCATTTCCCCCTGTATCTTGGGGTCAGGGGAGAAACAAAGGGAAAAGTCCCACCCAGGTTAGGAACCAGCAGCTTCTCCAAGGTTGTAGAATAAGAAGTAGACCTGTGGATTTGGTGTTATGGCACAGTAAATTAAGTCTTCTCCTGTTATGCCAGCATCCATCTGAATCCCAGTTCAAGTCCCAGATCCCTAATAATGCTGCTGGGAAAGCAGCAGAAGATGGCCCAGATGCTTAGGATCTGGCCACATACATGAGAGGCTCAGACTGAATTCTGGGTTGCTGGTTTAGGCATGGCCCAGCCCAAGCCCTTGTAACATTTGGATAGTGAGCCAGCAAACAGAAGATCTTCCTCTCTCTCTCTCTCCAACTCTGCCTTTCAAATACATAAAATATTGGGGGAGGAAATGGGGGCGTGAGACATTGTAATGCAATTGGTTCATCTGCCACTTGCAATGCTGGTATCCCATAAAGGCACTTGGAATTCTGACTGCTCTGCTTCCAGTTCAGCTCCCTGCTGATGCATGTGGGAAGGCAGTGGAGAATGGCCTAAGTGCTTGGGTCTGTGTACCCAGGAGGGAAT